GCCACCGGGGCCGCAGGCGGCGGCGCAGGTGCCCGAGACGCGCGACGGGCTTGGCCGGCGGGTGGGGGCGGGGAGTCCGAGCCATTCGAACCTCGGGGGCGCCAAGCCGGGCTGGGGAGCGCCGGCCCGACGGGGAGCAGCCCGTGTCCCCCACCATCCTGCGAAGGCTGGTGCCGAGGGGTGGTCGCGGCTGGGCTGCTCCGCTCTCCTGGCGAGTCCGCCGGCGTCCTGCTGGCCGCTGCCCGCTGCAGTTCACCCGCAGTGGAAAAGCCGGGGGTTTGGGGGTTCCCGCGGCATCGCCTTATCTCGGGAGGGGGCGGGCAGCGGGAGAGCGGCGAGCGCTGGGCGTCACTCGCATCTCACCTGCCCGGGAAGGGTCCTCGGCCGGGAGCGGCTCTGCCAAGACGCGGGGCTCCTGAGGGTGCCCGTTTTTGAGAAAGAAGAGTCGTGGCCGCCAAGCAAACAGCGGTACAAGTACCTGCCAGTCGCCCAGGCTGTCCCCACATTCGTGAGACTTGTTTCTGCATCTGTGTGGACAGCGTCCGTGACTTTAGCGGACGTGCGGTTCTGGAGGGCGGCTCCGCAGGTGCAGCGCGGGGGCAGGGGGGCTTTTGGCCGCAGAGCCCGCACCTGAGCCCCTCGCCGGCTGCGGGGGTGGGGGAGGGGCAGGCGGCGCTCTGGGAATACGGACGTTCCCAGCAGCTGAGGCTTTGGTCTCCACCTGCCGCAAAAATCCTTGTTTTGATTTTGGTGAGGGAGTGAAAAGTGACTTTGGAGCCTTCCCAGCATTGATCTCCTCCCAAGAAGGGGAACTCTGTGACTTGCCAGTATTCTTGAAGAAGACAAGTTTATGGTAAATAATGGAGCATCTTCAGAGTTTAGATTCAGCTTAGAAGCAGTGATGCCTCTGGGTCCCACCTTGGGCATAGCAGCTGTCCACATCAGTGGGCATGCCTATTTTGTTTTTCTCAAATAGTGTGGACCGAGGAGGACTTCCTTTTGTAAGGGGTCTCAGGTTAACCATATCTACAAGTCCTTTCCCCTAAACTCTAGTGAAAGCTTTGCGTTGCCACCTTTTATCTTCACACTCTCCTGTGGCTGTAGCAGAGTTATTTGAAGGTTTCTTTTTCTTGGAAAGGACTGTTCCAAATAAGGAGTCATATGTGTAGCTTTAGGGCTTGAGTTTGCTGTTAGTGTCATTATTATAAAACTTTGCCTTTGGGGGGGGGGGTGAGGGAAAGGGAAAGGGATTTTTAAAAGGTCTCCTGAATGTCTAAAGTTTTTGAAGGTTTAAGTTTTTGAAATACAACAGGTAGCATCCAAGTCTTTCTTCCACCACAAAGTAGTCCTTTTTCTGAACTCCCACCTTATTTGCTAAATGGCAGTTGTCTGCAAATGAGAAGTTAGATGAAGTGTGAAATGCCACGGTCTTATGGTTCAGTAATGTGTGTTGTGATTGAAAAGCTGTGTGTGACCCAGTTGGATTTTGGCCTTCTTTCAGTCTTCCGTGAAGAAATATAAACCTGTGTATTGACGTTTCACTAAACAGCAGATACATCTGGGTCCTCAGGAAGTAAACATACTGGAAATACTAGCTTTTTTGATATTGGTAGTATTTTGCTCTTTCAGAGCAAATGTCTTGGCAAGATGTTAGCCTTGTTATACTAATAGGATTGTATATTGTACCAGCGGATGGTAAATCAAAAAAACAAGTTACTTCCTCTCTTACTGTAATTTGTAGTACTGGCAGGGGAATCTGAGACTCTATCTTATTTCTAGTTTAGCCGTTACTACACACATTTGTGCAAATTATTTTCCCTTGAAAGTCTCAGCTTTTCAAATGTAAATTATGAATAATTATACTATTGTAATGTTTCCTGTCTGTACACTTGCTTTCTAAATTGGAAGACAATATTTTTGCATCAGCAAATACAATTGAAGATTTCTTAGTGGTGCTAAGTAATTATCATGAAATGTGACACATTCCTGGCAAAACAGCCAGGGAGTGGGGCTAAGTCAGCCATGGAAATTCAGTGCCTATAGGATAGCATTTTAGTCGACAAAGGTCAAGTAGTAAGGAGACCACCTTTGGTTATTGCATCTGCTCCTAATTCTGGGTTTAACTTTTGGAAAGTGGTCTCTCCTAAAATGAAAGGAAAAAATAATTGCTCTTAATCAAAAACCAATTATATAAAAGAATATTTTAACATGTGTTAGCTATAAATTGTAACAATGAAAACACAAAACCATGTACACCCCACCCATCTTACAAATCAATATCAAGACTTTTGAAGGCTCTGTGTACCCCATCTTATCCTATTTTCACTCACCCAGAAGTAACAGCCATTTAAACTTTTATATATATTTTAACATTTCTTTAATTTTATTTATAGTTTTAGCCCATATGCATAGCTCCCTAAGCAAAATACTTCATTTTTCTTGTCTGTGAACTTTAAGTACATGAAAACATACTGTGTATTTTTGCTTTTTTCCCCATCAGTGTTGTGAGATTTAGCCATGTTGACTGGCTAGCTGTAGGCCACTAATTTTCACTGCTGTGTATTATTCCATTGTGTGAATATACAACAATGGGGTGGACATGGAGATTCACTGCTGAGATTCCACTTTCAGGGAAGGGCTTGTCCCAAGTGCTGTGAGTATGGTTAGCAGACAGTCTTCAGTTGTAGGCCCCTTCATGGATTGCTACATTACATTACACGATGTAATGCAGGGGGCCGCCTTGCCCAACTTCTTTCCCTTTTGGCTGTGGCAGACATCCCATGAGGGTTTGAGGTGGGATATAAGGGCCTGGCCATTTTGACTCAGCATGGGACAACTGTAGCAATCCATTTCAGTCCTAGAGCTTCCCCTGTGGGGGACCCCAAGGTCATCTGAGGCTGCTGGGCCTGTGCTGCAGCCTGACTTCTCCCCCTACCCAGGCCTGCTTCCTTCTTTCCTCCTATGGGTTTTAATTCCACTTTACTAAGCACTCTCTGATAAATACTGGATACTAAACTCTGTCTAGGAATGCTTCCTAGGGAGTCCAACTTTACTTATCCTTTTTCAGGTGGATGACAGTTGGGAGGTTTCTGGGGTTTGCTATTACAGTCAGTGCTTTTACCTTGTGCATGTCACCTGGTGCACCCAGGCACAGTTTTCTCTAGGACGTGTGTCTAAGAGTGGAGTTGCTGAGTCATAGGCTATGCACATTTTCACCTTTCCTGGGTACTACCAAATGGTTTTCCAAAATGTACTTACTAATACCCCTATTTGTGGTATAAAAACACTTCCAATACTCTATATCCTCACAAGCTCTGGATGGTTCCAGATTAAAAACCTTTTTGTCAGACTGGTGGGTCTAAATGTTATTTCATTGTGCTCTGAGATTGAGCATCTTTACATATTTATTGGCCGTTTGAGTTTCCCTTTCTGTGATATGTTCATCCTTTTGTCCATTTTTCTATTCTGGTTTTTAAAAAAATTTTTTTTTTGAGTTTTTAAAAATGTATCCTGGATTCTAGTTCTTTGTTCACCATACATGTTTCAAAAACTTTCTCTCCATCTGTTTTTTCAGTTTGTGATGGTGACTTTGATAAAAAGGAGGTCTTAAATTTTAATATAGTCTAATTTGTGAGTCTTTCCCCTTGTTTGTGCTTTTTTTTTTTTTCATTCTTTTAAAGAAATCTTCCCCTATTCAGAAGTCATGAAGCCATTTTTAATATTAACTTCTAAAAGCTTCATAGCTTTACCTTTTTACATATTTTTTAATCCACTTGGAGTTTATTTTCGTGTGATGTAATGTAGGAATCCAATTTTATTGTTTCAGTATCACTAACCAAATAGCCGTTCCAATTCTTACTGACAGCAAAGCCACTTCTGTCACACAGTTTCCATGTGTGTAGGTCTCCTTTTGAGTTCTTTATTTTGTTCCATTGTCTCAACTCATGACAACATCTTAATAACTATCCTTTGTATTAAGTCTTGATAACTGGTAGTGTTAAGTCTCTTCACCTTAGTATTCTCTGGAAGCATCTTGGCAATTCCATGCCCTTTGCTCTTTCACATATATGAGGGTACTTCAAAAAGTTTATGGAAAAATAGAGTTAAAAGATATGAATCTTTCCATGTTGTTTTGAAGAACTATTGTATTTTGGAACCCACCTGTCAGATTTCACCAGAAAGTCTACTGGGATTGAGTTATATTGACTTGAGTTATATTGACTCTATAGATCAGCTTGGGGGGAACTGGCATCTTCACTACTGAATCTTTCCAACTATGAACGTTTTAGATCCTTCTTAATGACTCTTAATAAATCTTAGAATTTTATCCATGAAGGTTCTGCACACTTTTGGCTAGATTTACTCCTATGTTGATTTCTTTGTTGCTCATAAAAGGCATGTTTAAAAACATTATATGTTCTAACTGTTGGTATATAACAGTCTGATAGATTTTAATATTGTTTTTTTGTTTTTGTTTTTTGTATCCAATGCTTAATCTCTTGTTTGGATATCTTCAGAAAACTAAGGTCTATGGTATGTATCCTTTCTAAGGTTTAAATGTCATGTAAACTTACGACTGGAAAGAATGTAGGTTTTCTTGCCTGCTTTAATTAGTCTTGCATTTATGATACACTAGACTGATTCATATTTGCCAGGGAAGTGATATATTACCAAGTCACTGATTCAGGACTAATAGATTTTGTGTTGTTGCCTCTTGTATGCCCCCAGATCTGAGTGTTGGGAGTTGCCTTAGTCACATTGTTTTCACTATTCTCTTGCCACTGTTCTTTTCACTTTTCCTTCTTCTACTTTCCTAGTGCCCTTTTCTAATTCTCATCTCTTTTTATTGCTTCTTAACTGATCACCCCATACTTGCTTTTTCTCATTTTATTCAGAATGTGAAATATAAATCACGCCATGCTGCTTACATCATAGGTCGAGGAATTAAAATATCTGGTCATGTTGAGCCTGAAGATTTATGTGAATTATTTACAGAATAGGAATGTCATAATCATTTTATCACCTCTTGATCTATAGAGAACTAGTTCAAATTTTTGTATAATGCTGTATAACTTTTTCCACCCAAGATGGTCATTGGAAAGACAAGAAATACTTATTTGATTTGCTTCATAGCAGTTTGGAATAAAATTTAGACCTTTGTCAAACATCTTGTAAAGCGAAATCACTTTTGTTTGACAAAATAGATTGAAACATTTGAGAATACCTGGCAAATTAGCTTCTATTTTACATGAGCTATGATTTGCCAATACCTTTAATGGCTAAGTAACTTCCTTTATTTAGTAGGTTTATTTGTGGAAGTATCTTTTCTATCAAAATGCTACATTTTTTTTTTCTTCATGAGCACTGAGCACACTGTACAGTAATGTTAAACCACATTTCCTCATTTGAAATTCCTAAACTTCCTCCTCTGGACTTTCCAGTGATGAACTACTGGGAGAAGAGTCAGGATGAATAAGCAAAGAGGTTATTGTATACTTTTTTTTAAAGGGTGTGTTAAAAGATGAACAACTAAACTGGGGAGGAGGGGCTGATGGGTTAATAATGTGTGGTGAGACATTGGTCTCTGGATTTCCAGTATTGCCAAATTTGTCTATTTCAAATGTTCTTTAAGTGTGAACTGCATACTTAACTGCAAGGTTATTCAAATCTGCAGTTGTTGTTACCTAGTGTACCCATTAAGGTCTTATTTTTATTATTTTTACTGTCTACTGTGGTTATATTATAATCTGGTCCTAGTTATGCTATCTAATGAATATTGCTTAATATATAATATAAATACAGTATGTAGTTCAGTTGTTCTCAACCCTGGCTGCACCTCAGAGTCACCTGGGGAACTTAAAAACGCAGATGTACACACACCAGAGAGTGGGCCCCACACCAGCTCAATATCATCAGAATATCTTGGGTAGGGCTTGGGGCAACGGTGTTCTTTTAAAAGCTCTCCTGATGATTCTAACACAGCCAGTCAAGAACCACTGGTTTAATGGAATAAGCATGTACTAATTGTTGGAGAGTTTTTTGTTCTCATATTTGTGGGGTATGGTGTGTTGTTTCAATACATGCATATATGCACAATGATTCACTTAGGGTAGATAGCATAGTTTTGACTTGTTAGTCCACCACTTTTCTCTGAATTTTTTAGTGACTTGAAAATAAATGTGCTTTTTAAAGGAAATTGGATTTTATTAGCAACATTTCTTGTAAAGGAGTTTATCTTAGCTGAAACCTTTTAAGTGCACTTTTGAAGGTCTCTCTCAGCGTCCTTATAATCTTGAAAGAAAAAAATACTTCTCAATATATTGACACATTGCATTCCAGAAGTTTTGGGTCATTGGCAGGATGAAAAAGAACTCACTGAAATTCTCCTTAGATGTCCACAAAATCTACCTTAAAAGGATTTTTGAGTAATTGTCCATCTTTCCATTGTAAGTTTGGTATAGGACATTTAGTTTATTTTTCTGTTTGTCTTTTTCTAGGTTTGAGATCAGTCTGTGCCACTTTTTCAGTGTCTGATATTGGCCAAGTATCTTTACCTCATTTAAAGTCAATTGTTTATCAGTACAATGAGTATCAGTGCCTCACCTGTGGAGTGGTCGAGATAGATGTGAGAACTCTAAATTGTGTAGTGCTTTTTAGCTGTAAGCTAATTGTTTTCCTCTTTAAATTAGGAATACAAGCTGCAATTTGAGTTATAAGATATTTTGCATATGCTTTGAATATTAGAATTTATCAACATAATATTTTAACACCTAAAAGCACAATATTCATGTATGGAAAAGATGAGTCAAGTTTAAGCAATTTAATTTTGGATAGTTTTTGAGGAAATTGGGAGAATACACACTTCTCCCCCATTAACAATAATTATCAATGCTGTATCTACCAGTGTTTAAATCCTTTAATTGTAGAATTGGGACAAATATCCTAAAATTTTAGAAGATGAAGGTCAGTTAATTTATAAGTTAAATGGTTTGTGTAAAGAGTTTTTATGTCCTTCATCAAAAGACAGATAATTCTACAAATCATAAATGCACTGCTCAGTTAATTTCATAAAGTGAAAAACACCCATGCAACTAGCCCACAGAGCATGAAAGAAACATTAACTGAACTCCAAAGGTCCTTAATGCTCCTTTCCAGCAATTATTTATCTAATACGGTAGATTAGTTTTGCCTGTTTTTGAAACTTGTATATAATTTGAATCAGACGATTTATCCTTTCTTTTTGGTGGTAGTGGAGGAGGATCTGGGCTTCTTTTGCTCAGTTATTTATTTCTGTGTTATATAGGATGTTAATTCATTCTCACTGTTACATAGTATTCCATTGTTTGTATATATCACAATATATTCATTCTTCTCTTGATGGATACTTTAGGTTTCCAGTTTGGGCTATTATGAACCACAGTACTGTAGATGTTCTTATGTGTCTTGCTGAATGTATGTACATATTTCTGTTGGGATATACATACAAGCGCAAATTGCTGAGTTGTATGTTCAGCTTCAGAAGATACCATCAGTTTTCCAATTATACTCCCGTTAGCAGTGTATGAGAGTTTCAGTTTCACATTTTTTGGCACCACATGTTAAAACATAAGTCAATGATTCATGTTATAACTTTTAGTATAACAAAAGAATAGCAAAAGAATATAACTGTCAAGTTAGTAGGTGGGAAAATGAAATAATAAACTCTGATCCAGAAGAATGCAAGAAAGAATAAAACAGGTGAGTCACATAGAAAACAAATAGTAATGATAGATATAAACCAAATATATCAGTAATTACATTAAATGTAAATGGACTACATACTCCGGTTAAAAGATTAAGAATGTTGGAGCCAAGTAGATACTGCTTATAAGACACATCTTAAATATAAAGACACAGAAAGATTAATAATAAAAGAATAGAAAAATGTATACCATGCAAGCGCTAACCAAAAGAAATCTGATGTAACTATATTAATGTAAAAAGAATTATTAGAGATAAAGGACATTTTATAATGAATAATGGTTTGACTAGTTCAGCTCTTGGTTAGAAACTTGTGTGATTTTTCAGACCTGACCATATGTGATTTCTAAGGTGTTATCTGGCAGGCCTCAGGGGGAAAGCTGCCCTCCCCAAACCAGACTTGGTGTGTAGCCAATGCACTGCAGTCCCTGAAGGGAATTGCAGTCAAGACTCAGCTCCTCCTGGCTGGTGGTAATCTCATCATAATCTCATGCATAGCTGCATTTCTAGCCCAGGGGCCTTCATTTGGAGTTGTCTTTGTTAGGGGCTTTCAGCAGAACCCTTCCTCAGGTGCCTCTGCAAGACCACCTTAGCAGGGGGGGAGAGTGGAACTTTGAAGACTCTTTTTCTCTACTCTCAATTCTTTCCAATCCTTGTTCTTCCCTCCCTTCCTTTGGCTCCTGGGTCCATAATACTTCAGGAACCTTGTGGAGGGGGGGCTCCCTTAGCAGGGAGAGATCCTCACATCTGTGCTGATCCACCTGACCTTGACCAACAGCACTGGCACCATTCCATGGGGAGAAACAAAGCAGTGAAGTTGGTATGTTCTCTGGTTAGCCTCTTGCTTATAGCATCACAGTAAGTGATAAAAGGCTTGACTATTACTTTGCTTTTTTCTTATTGCTTTAACTGACTACTCTGACACCTGGCTGCTCAGCTGAGTACCTCATGGGGGTTAATCTGCCAGGAAGCAATGCCCCTAATAATGTAGCCTCAAAATACATAAAGCAAAAACTAATAGGTACTTAATTTATTGAAGCATAAAATACCCACAGAAAATAATACAGTCAAGAATGTATAGCTTAGTTATCACAAAGTGAGCATGTCAGTATACCCTAGATATACATTACCAACATCTCAGAAGCCTCCCAATCACTACTCATTTCCTCTTCCCTAAAGGTTTATTTATTATTATTATTAAGTTGATTAGCTTTGCCCATTTTAAACTAGTGGAATCATCAGTATGTATTCTTTATACTTAGTTTCTTTCACTAATATTAGGTATGTTTTAAAACATTTGCTGAGTATTAACTTGCTATTTTATCATTTCAGATGTTTTAGAAAATAATTATGAGAGCTTACATGTACTAAATGTTGAAAGAAATGGAAATATTATTTATACTTATAAGGTATGTCTGCATTCTTTTTTATTGTGGTAAAATATACATGACATAAAATTTACTATTTTAACCATTTATGTTCTCCTTTTATAGAATTCTATACTATATCTTATTGAGGGATAATGAATGTCTGGTTGTAATAAGTTCTATACTATATCTTATCGAGGGATAATAAATGCCTGGTTAACCTTTAATATATGGCTTTGCTTTTTGTATGTGTGAGATTGAATAGGGTGATTAAAATTCAGTCTTATGAAATATTTCTTTTTTAAAAATAAAACCGAATGAGCATGTCTGACATAGTATTCAATTTTTGAATAAATGAACAATTTCATTTTCTAGAGGAAAAATGCCAAGCAAAAGATGTTTAAAACTAATTAATGTGTTAAATTTTTCTTTGAGAAAATATTAAATATGATTACTCTGTCTATTCAGACTTATTCAGTCATTATTTAATGACTCAAAAGTCCTAGCATATCTAACAATGTGTTTTCAATGTTCTAAGGAAAATTTGGGTTTACTGATAACTTTAGTAGGGACACATAAAAGAATAATTCCAATGGCCAGTTTGCATTGTGCAGTGTATCACTGTTCTACTTTTCCTTCTGGTTAGTTATTTAAGTCATATCTAAGGATGATGCATTTAAGGAATTGAATGATTCAAAAGTTTTACTTATAAGAACATCATGGACTTTTTTTAGCCACTCCATTATTCATGTATTCTCTTAAAGTTATAAATGGGGGTACAAAGATTTAGTTCTCCACCATGCTTGGTCCTACTAGACAGGGTCCACAAACTCACTGAACTGTCCACTGTTGATTTATTTATTCTTTGATCCCAAAAGACTAGCTGAATCAGGTTTGATTACTTTCTAACGTGCACAGCAAGCTTCCTTTAGAATGCTTATTGCTAAAATTGGTTGAATTATTGCAGGTTTGTTTTAAAATTCTAACTTCCTAAACAATGACAGTTAATAAACATCTGGGTGGTTTTTTTTTTGTTTGTTTTTAAAGGATGATAAGGGAAACGTGGTCTTTGGATTATATGATTGTCAAGCCAGACAAAATGAGGTAAAAATCGCCATAAATCATAGCATACTTATTAGTTATGTTACTGCCTTTTTCTAGATATAAATTTCAGCATCATTTTCTAAAAATTTAGTTTATATTTCTTTGCCTTCTCCCTTTACCATCTCTTGGCCCCAGTTCTTTTCTTTCAGCTCTTGAAAAATGATGTGCCATTCTCTCTGGCCTTCGTGGTTTCTCATGAGAAATTGGCTGTCTTTTGAATTGTTTTCCCCCTATAGGTAAGGTGTCACTTTTTTCCTTGCTCCTTTCAAAATTTTTTCTCTCCTCAGTTTTCTAAGGTTTGATTATGATGTGTTTTGGTGTGGATTTGTTTGGGTTTTTCCTGTTTGGGGTTTACTCAGTTTCTTGAATCTGTTAAAATCTTGCCAAATTGGGACGTTTTCAGTTATCAGATGTTATTTCTTCAGTTTTCAATATTATTTAGTCTCAACCTGTTTCTCTTCTCTCTTTATGGACTCTGATTACATGAATGTTAGATCTTTTGTTACAGCTTCTCAGATCTGAGGTTCTGTTCTTTTTTTCTTTTTTCATGTTTTCAGGTTTTTGTTTTTTTTTAAGAATAGATAATTTCTATTTTATCTTCAAGTTCACTGATTCTTTTGTCCTCTCCACTATTGTTGCTGAGTCTATCCATTGAGGTTTTAAAAAAACATTTTTTTTGTTGTATTTTTCAGTTGTAAAACTTGCATTTTTTTCTTTATATGTTGTTTTCTTGCTGAGACTTTTATTTTTTCATTTGTGTCAAGCATGTTGTAATTACTTACTGAAGCATTTTTTATGATGGCTATTTTAAATCTTTGTCAGCTATCCCACTGCTGGGTATATACCCAAAGTATGGAAATCATCATGTTGAAGAGACACCTGTACTCCCGTGTTTATTGCAGCACCATTTACAATAGCCAAGAGTTGGAACCAGCCTAAATGCCGATCATCAGATGAGTGAATATGGAAACTGTGGTATATCTACGCAGTGGAATTCTACTCTGCTGTTTTTTTTTTTAAATCTTCATCTATATCTATATCAATATATATACATTACCATTCGCAGCAACATGGATGGACTTAGAGAAAATTATATTAAGTGAAATAAGGAAATAAGCCAGGCACAGAAAGAGAAATACCACATGTTCTCACTTATATGTAGGAGGTAATAAAAATAAATAAACAAATGGGGAGAGAGAAAAAGACACAACAATCACAATAATTCCTTGAACTTGTTAAGATAAGTGAACAGATATGTTGATGGGGGGGAATGGGAGGGGGGAAAAGGAGGAATTGGTAGAGGGACACCAAAATCAACTACATTGTATATTGATAAATTAAAAAATAAAACTTTCAAGCAAACTATGCAATATAAGTGCATAAATATGCAAGTATATTTAAATACTCATTTTAAAAGATATGGAAGGCTACAGAACAAATTATAAACATTCTTGGAAGGGAGTAGGGATTGGCTGAGTATAATGGAGGTCTCTGACTTTTTATTTGGCAGTGTTTGCATCTTTTAAACACTGAGACTATGCTCATGTGTTATTTTATAATTAAAAGGATAAAACATTAAAAATTAAGTGTATACATTCATGATTCTTCTTACTTATAAATTAGAATCCCTCAGAGCAAGAGTCAAAGGAAACCAAAATTTCTCACATGAATTTAGTACCTTCTTATTAACCCAAAGTTCACTTTCTCTAATCAGTTGTTTCTGACTTTCCCAACATTTTTCACCAACTTATGGCCATAGAGTTCTAGTGTGTTCTCAGTGCTTTTTTAATCTGCAGGTACTAATAACCTCCTTAATACCTCTGCTGTTCACTGGTTCTCTTAGCTTATTCTCTCCTGAGGTCTAAGACTCTTTATCTTTACTCTATCCTCTGAATATACTTTAAGACAGTTTGCCTAATATAACTGTGATTGTCTCCAGTTCCTCAGTCTGCACATCAGATCCTCCTCCTGTGTGGCCATTCTCATTTCCTTTAATACTCAAGAAAGTGGAATCTTGTGACACTTCGAACATTTCAAACATCGACAAGGAAGAAAAAATGATTAAATGTAGAAGACTATTCTGCCAGTCTTTTAAATATGAGTGTCCTATAGGATATTCACTTGTGACAGTCTCTAAGACATAACTGATATCACAAGTTGTGTAATTTGATTAAAACTTTACTCACCTTGGTAATTATAACAGCTACTATTTGAGTGCTTATTATGTATGGCAGATGTTATATTAAGTACTTCATATAGATTCTCACTTGATACTTCTAACAATGCCATGAGACATAGGTACTATAATTCCTACTTTATTAATGGGTGGATAGAGAGGTTGAATGATTTGTCTGAAGTCACCCAGCTAGCAAGTGGCAGAGTCAGGATTTGAACCTGGGTCTAGTTTGGCTCTAAGGTCTGTGCCTCTTAAGCTCTATGCTTTATCTCATACCTAAGTTTCAGTGCCAAACATGGCCTACAAAAGCAAACTTAAAACTTAATTAAAAATTTTAATTGACCCATTGTAATTGTATAAACTTATGAGATACAATATGGTGTTTTGATACATATATGTCATGTAATGGTTGGGTCAGGGTGGTTTATGTGTCTGTTACCTCATGCATTAATCATTTATTTGTAGCACAAGTATTCAAAAACCTGTCCTCTAGCTATTGTAATATACAAAACTTAAATGTTAACCATAGTCATCCTACCGTGCAGTGGAACCCAGAACTTATTCCTCCTGTCTAATTGTAATTTTGCACCTGTTGGCCAACCTCTTCCTGTTTTCCCTTCTCCCCTCCCCAGTTTCTGGTAACCACTGTTCTGTTCTGTCTCTGATATCAACTTTTTTTTTTATGATTCCACACATGAGTGAGATTGTGTGGTATTTGTCTTTCTGTGCCTGGTTTACTTCACTTAACACAAAGACCTCCAAGTCCATTCATGTTGCTGCAAATGACAGAATTTCGTTCTTTTTTATGGCTGAATGGTATTCCATTGTGTATACACACCACACTTGTTTTATCCATTCATCCACTGCTGGAAAACTAGGTTGATTCCCATCTTGGCTATTGTGACTAGTGCTGCAGTAAACATGAGAGTGCAGATATCTCTGACATAATGAATTCATTTCCTTTGGGTATATACCCAGTAGTGGGATTGCTGGCTCATATGGTAGTTCTATTTTTAATTTTTGGGGGAATCTCCATATGGTTTTCCGTAATAGCTGTATTAGTATACACTCCCATCAACAGTGTGCAAGTGTTCCCTTTTCTCCACATCCTCTCCATCCAACACTTGTTTTGTCTTTTTGATAATAGCCATTCTAACTGGAGTGAGTTGGTATCTCATTGTTGTCTTGAGTTGCACTTCTCTGATGATTAGTGATGGTCAGTATTGTTTCATATGCCCGTTGGCCATTTATATGTCTTCTTTTGAGAAATGTCTATTAAGATCCTTCATCCATTTCTCAGTTGGGTTATTTGGGGGGTTTTTGCTGTTGAATTAAGTTCCTTATATATTCTTAATATTAATCCCTCAGATACATAGTTTACAAATATATATTTTTTTTCCTTTTTGTCTTTTTTCGTGTCCGGCAACGGATCGCAACCCTCAGTGTCGCACCCGTACTGGACCGGGACCGGCAACGGGATCGCAACCCTCGGTGTTGCTCCCACACCTCGCTCAGCCAGTGAGCGGGAACCGGTCTGTATGTGGGATCCGAACCCTCAGCGGGAGCGCCACCACACTCCCAAGCGGCGCACTGTAGCAGTGCGCCACCGGGCCGGCCTGTTTACAAATATTTTCTCCCATTCTGTAGGTTGTCTCTTCACTCTGTTAAATTTTCCTTGTGTAAGAGCTTTTTAATTTGATGTAATTCTACTTGTCTATTTTTGCTTTATTGCTTGTGCTTTCGAAGTCTTATTTAAAAAATCCTTGCTCAGCCCCATGTCTTGGATCATTTCTCCTATGTTTTCATCTAGTAGTTTCATAGTTCTGGGTTTTACATTTAAATCTTTAATCTATTTTGAGTTGACTTTTTGTATATGGTGAGAGATAGGGGGTCTAGTCGCATTCTTTATATCCAGTTTTCCTTCATCATTTACTGAAGAGAATGTCTTTTCCCCAATCTGTATCCTTGGCATCTTTGTCAAAGATCAGTTGGCTGTAGGTGTGTGAATTTATTTCTGGGTTCTCTATTCTGTTCCATTGGTCTGCGTGTCTGGCAAACTTTTTTCTTTAAAAATGATCTGGAATGTTTCTGCATGGATAAACTAGTTCATTGATGGTTCCTTAGTAAAATTTTTGCCACACTAATACTTGGTATAGAGCTTGATGGGAATTTGTATTCACATAATTGTTAATATGAAGCTCCAAAGTAAAAAATGATTTTGTTTTAATAGCATCTGTATGCCTTTGAGAAAGATTTGCAAGTTGTCAGTTGTTCTGTCAACAGTGAGAGGACTTTGCTGGGTAAGTTGAACTTTTTTATTGCTACACATCAAGAACTGAATTACACCTATTTAGAGTTCCAAAGTACTGGATTTTTTGCTATATTTGATTATTATAACAATGATTTTTCTGGGAAAAAATGTTCTTGGGAAATTAGGTTTGAAATAATCTGTAGAGTATATCTACAGAAAAGAATTCTTGGTATATTCTACCTTGATCTTCCACTGGCAGATCCTTTGAGCCCTCATCTATTTCAGGTATAAAATGGTAAACTTTAACGAGCCACTACATGGATCAGTTGCTAACAGATATATATTTTTTCCCACTAGCTGCAAGTTTAGTTCAATCTACTAAAGAAGGAAGAAAGAACGAGCTTCAACCAGGTAATAAAACTATATGTTTTAGTGACTATTAGTAGATGAATATTTATTATAGTACTAAGTCAGATTTAAAGCATCTTTAAAAATAGCCTTATCATATCTCAGTGAAAAGGCAAAAGTCATGTTAAGCATGAAAAAGACTTTTTAATTATTTTTTCAAGTAAACAGGAAAGCACAGAAAATGACATAATAGTGAATAGCAGAAGTGTTAACATGGTAATTAGCACCTGCAGACTAAATGCTGAGAACACATTAGAACCTTATGGCCAGAAGCTGGTGTAAAAGTTGGGAAAGTCAAAATTACCATTTTTTCTTATATGTGGTTAAGTATTGACTAATACTTTACATATTGTGAATAGTCACCAATACTAAATAAAAATCAATTCTACTCATTTGCCAAGGCCCACTTTATTGTTTACTAGCTATCTGATATTCCCCTGTCCACCTCCCCAACCTTTTTTTTTAACATTATATATCAACTGTCTGTCCATAACTCAACATTATTGAGTGCCTACTGTGCATGGTGCGGGGGATACAATAATATGTAAGAGAAGAATGATGACCACTCTCGTGGAGCTTTCAGTCTAGTCCTGGGTTCCAATTGCAGATGTATACAGTGGTCAAGAGAGACCATGTAAATAATTGGAGCAGACTGATGGTAAGAAAAATCAAGTGACCAACAAAGAGTGTTTCCATTTTAATATAAAAACCAAGAAATATTTCTCCTCTTCAGTCAAAAAGAGTTCAAGAGCTATTAGGGACTAGTGGTAGTGTAAGGGTGGCTCATGGGGGACTTCAAAGAGGAGACACTGCTCAGCTCTAGCTTTCTGTTGTCATGTGGGGCAGTAAGCCCAATAGGGACAGCTTTTTCAATTTATCAAGATAAGTGTAGACTTTCATGTAAAAATCTAATTTGTAAATATTGGCTCAAATATAAACAAAAAACAACAACACTGCACAGGCAATGGTAACCACCTGTGGGCTGGAGCCAGCCTGTGGGCTACCATTTTTTTAACCTCTGGTCTAGTGGATTTCATATCAGTCTCTTACTATATTCAGATCCCAGGTGCTTTCCACCTGTTCTGTTTCTTTGGCTCTTAAATGCCTTCTTTTGTTAGCACAGAATATATCACTCAGATGTATTCTCCTGTGGTTGCATGTGATGGAAAAACCCTTGGTACATTCTTTTCACATGAGGCTTATGAGGCAGTCTTGGGCTTCTTCTGACACGCATTTCCCCACACAGCCAGCTTAGGGGGTGGCAAGGGAACCAGAGCCAAGTCTGATGGGACCTTCTTGGGGACCTCAGCAGGAGAGTTTATGGGAGATGTTGTCTGTCCCTGAAATCTCATCTGTGTTATTCATCCTTACCTTCCCCCTGCCATGAGATACTGAGGCCATAACAGCTCCTTCCCTCTTCTGTGACATGCCCCCCTTTTACCAGTTCCCTTAGAATTCTCTGTTGCTCTTAGAGCTAGGTGCAATGCTTAAGTGAAATATGATCTAGGATGCTGGTGTTCTGAGCCCTGAAACAAGGGCATTAGAATATGGCCCTGACCTCCTGGACTAATAAACCCCTTTATCCAAGAAGGGAAAGGCCTAACTGCTGTGTTGCTCGAGATGGTGAGGCTGGGCGTTACACAGAATGTTGGCTTTGTTCCCTGTGCCTCCCAGTTCTGCTTGCCTCTTATCCTTTTAGTCCAAGAAATTCTTTTTTTTTTTTTTTTCCTTTTTTTTGTCTTTTTTCGTGACCGGCAACGGATCGCAACCCTCAGTGTCGCGCCCGTACCGGACCGGGACCGGCAACGGGATCGCAAGCCTCGATGTTGCGCCCGCACCTCGCTCAGCCAGTGAGCGGCCGGTCTGTATGTGGGATCCGAACCCTCGGGCGGGAGCGCCGCCGCGCTTCCCAAGCGGCGCACTGTAGCAGTGCGCCACTGGGCCGGCCCCAAGAAATTCTTTATTATGCTGGTAAACTGAGTAGTAACTATAATTTTTACATGGTATTTACCATCTATTCCTGATGGTCATGCAGAACAGTAGTGATTAGTGATTATGTATATTATGAAATGTACTTTTAGGCCAACCGTATGGAAAGTTTTATTTGACTACAACATTAAATTCTTTTCAAGTATGCTTGCTCGGTTTTGTAAATTTGATGCACCTGTAGTGATTATTAGCTTACATCTTTAAAAGCATTAGGAAGAATGTTTTTAAGTTATTGTATCATATCCCTCATACCTTTACAGCTTAACTCACATCCATGCCAGCCACTGTGGTGATAACCAGCTCTGCCCAGGTGTGATCTGACCGTGCCTCACCTCAACCACTCTACCTACTTCTTGCTTTCTGCCTAGGGCCTTTGGGAAAACCTGTTTACTGAAATTATGGTTGGGAATGATGCCCAATAGGGCAACCCAATGGGGTTTGACCGGTGGGGACCATGGAGCTGTAGGATAAATGCACTCCCTTTCCATCCACAGAGTGAGTATTTCTGGGGCACACTCCAAGCAGCTTAAGATCAAAAGTGGTCACTAATTGGATAATACCCTGTTTACCGGTGTAGTCTTTTTTCCTGTTTCATTCTCCTCAGTCCCTTATACCAAGCCCTGACTAGAGAGATCCTATAATAATCCTGTCCTCTGAGATAACTTCTTGTCTTTTTTTTTTTTTTTTGTCTTTTGTCTTTTTTTTCCGTGTCCGGCAACGGATCGCAACCCTCAGTGTCGCCCCCGTACCGGACTGGGGACCGGGGACCGGCAACGGGATTGCAACCCTCGGTGTTGCTCCCGCGCCTCGCTCAGCCAGTGAGCGGGAACCGGTCTGTATGTGGGATCCGAACCCTCGGGCGGGAGCGCCGCCGCGCTTCCCAAGCGGCGCACTTATCCAGTGCACCACCGGGCCGGCCCCACTTCTTGTCTTAGTTTGGGTTTCCCCATAAGTAGATGCCGAGGTAAGGATTAGAGTGCAATTAGTTTATTGGGGGAACGGTCCTAGGAAACACTGCTAGGGGAGTGTATTAACAGATCTGAAAGAAGGAAGGAAGCAAGCACCTGGGAAAAGCACATGTCTGGCAGAGCAGACAGCACAAAGGCCCTGAGGCCAGGCTCTACGTGGTAGACTCACTGCTCGAGGGTAGTGAGGAGGTCAGTGAGGCTAGAGTGGAGTGAACAGGGGCAGGGTGGGAGGAAGTGAGGCTGGAGGAATAAGGTTTAGGTGTCATGTAGAGCCTAGGAGGCCATTGTAAGGACTTGCCTTTCTCTCTGAGTAAAATGGGGAGCAATGTGGGAGTGAGCAGGGGTGTGATCTGACTGACTTTGTAAAAGGATCACTGCAGCTGCTGTGTGGAAGAGACACTGAGGGCAAGGGGAAAGCTGGGTGTATTTAGAAGATAGACTGGTCAAGATTGGCTGCTGGATTTGATGAGAGGATAAGAAAAAGACAAGTCGAGGATGACTCACTCCATGGCATGTTTACAGGGATATCTAGGCCATATCCCAGAAATTGTTTTGTATTCTTTGTCTTTTTAAAAATTTTTAAATCAATGCTGTCAGGTTACTTTCTTTTTGTTTTTTTGGCTGGTATGAGGATCCGAACCCTTAACCTTGGTGTTACAAGGCAGTGTTCTAACCAACTGACCTAACCAGTTAGCCCTACTTTCTTAAACATTAAAAATTGGCATGGATTCCCAAGCTGCTGTGCCATTTCCAAATTGTACATTATTATTTAAAATAAAGTCTTTGAGAGCACCTGCTCATATTAGAGTCTTAATAAGAACTCAAATAGAAGGCAACCCCTTATCGTCTGTTGGGGGAGGGGGACCTTGGGCCTAAATTTGGATATCTGCGGTAACTCCATTCTAGCCCATGTCCATGGACTTCTTCCTCGTAATGGCTATATTTTATGACATTTGCTCAGATGTGACAATGAGGAAATAAGTGGGTCATTATCAGTGCCACTGTACACAGTCCCTGAGGGTAACCAAGTCCCTCTCCTACTGATAGGTACTGTCAGCCATAACATGTTCATCAGAAATATCCTTATGTTGTTATGCACAAACAGTATTTGCCATTGTGCTGCAGAATTGGAGTGACACTTTATTGTTTGTTTAGACTTAGAGCCCTAGAGGGCCTGTGAAGCTATACTAAATATTGCCAAAAAATGGGTGAGGACTTGCTTCTCACTCTGCACATTCACTTCTCCCTCGTGATGTTTTCTGTATCTATTTTGGGTTTTAAGAAGTGTCAAAGTCAAACTTTAAGTCGAAGTGTCAAACTGTAAGAAAACTACTTTTCCTTGTGAAATAGTTAATACTATAGGTAACATTTACATCTTCAAAGTTTGGACGTGCCTGATTTGCAAATTGTGGAATCTATTTCAGAGGCCACTTATATTTTAAATGTGGTTCCTTTCTATAAACTGAAGAATTTTTATAGCTTGAGAATTGTCTCTCCTGGTATCTGCTGGTGTTTTCAGGGCCGCTCAAAGACTTCTCTTTTTACATTTGCATTTTTTTTTGAGTGTTCTGTGGTTTTCATAATAAAATACATGTGCTTCAGGGCTCCTGAGGGTGTGGAAGGCAGGTCCTTTGCTAAGCTGATTGCTTTCCTGGGGTCCAGGAGCCACCATACATCCCTGAAGAGTGGATCTGGGAATAGAATTACAGTTTGTCACCTCAAGGGATTTATGATGATGGTAGAATTGTTTTGTTAGTTTACAGTCAACATAATGGGATTTACCCAGAATTTCCTCTTCCTAGTTTCTTTGGAAAAGATAATGTGTGATATTCTGATCTTCATTACTAAAAGCCTCCTTTTTTTCTGTAGGATCAAAATGTTTAACTTTGTTAGTCGAAATCTACCCTGTTAACAATGTGAAGGTTCTAAAAGCAGTGGATAGCTATATTTGGGTACAGGTAAGTAAGTATGTCATTTATCACTTATCTCATTAATCAAAAGTTATGAAACCTAGAGGAAATGTTTACAGTGTGCTTTTACACGTTATCACATTTAATCTTCAAAGTAATCTTGTAGATGGGTATGGCTGGAAGTATCAGCTTTTCTTTTTAAAAAATTTTTATTGAACATAAATGTTTGTACATATCTGTGTGGTACCACGTTGAATATCAATACCTGTGTGCAATTGCGATGTGATTCATTCAGCTCCTCCTTTACAAACATGGAAATTAAGAACTCAAACCTAGCTCCTGTGACTCTGTTATACCACGGTTTGTCTGAGAGTGATATTTTTTCATGATAAATTATCAAATATTAAAACACTTAAGGTGAGCTTTACGGTGGTTTATTTAATGTATTCATATGGTTGCCAGATTAAATATCTATGATTAAAAGACTAATCCCTGAATCTATCAACTCTGTAAATTGATACAGAAGCACTGTGTATGTAATGCAGATAGACTAGATACAGTTAATCCTCCTTCTTTGCAGATTCTGTATTTGCGGACTCTCCTGTTTGCTAAAATTTATTCGTAACCCCCAAATTAATCTCATGGTGCTTTCCCAGTCATTTGCAGACATGTGCTGAGTGGTGAAACATTTGGGTCACCTGATGTGCACGTTCCCAACTGAGGTTGAACAGGTCAATCTTGTGCCTTGTTTCAGCTCTCATACTGTAAACAAGTGTTGTTTTTGTGGTCTGGTGCTATGTTTTTCAAATTCTTGTGCTTTTTATTGGTGACTTCACTGTTTGAAATGACCTGTAAGCATTGTTGAAGTATGGTCTAGTGTTCCTAAGTGCAAGGAGGCTGTGATGTGCCTTACGGAGAAAATGTGTTAGTTGGATTAGTTTCATTCAGGTGTGAGTTACAGTTCTGTTGGTTATGAGTTCAATGTTAATGAACCAACAATATATATTAAATAAGGTATTCTTAAACAGAAACACACATAAAACAAGGTTATATTAATCTGTTGACAAAAATATTTTGACCAGAGGCCTGCAGGGACCTTTTTTTGTATTTTCCCCTAGAAGCAATAGTTTGGTATTCAGTGTACAGTGTTCGTTTGTGGTGCCTTTATAGAACATAACTATTGCAAAGAACAAGAATTGACTTTGTGTTCATGTAGTGCTAGAGCAAAATTTCTCTTTGCCTAATCTGACATTTTGCTGTGGGGTCAAAACATCATTTCTTTTGGTCTACTTGGAGTAAACTTGTATCACCTGAAGTATCTGCCTCTTCCTCTCCTCACCTCCTCCCAGCCTTCAGCCATGGGACTCCCCCTTCCAGTGTGTGTTAGGGGAGGGAGCTGTCTCCCCTCTGCCACAGGTCCTCCACCATAAGCCAACCCTTCCAAACTGTGCATTTTCTCCACTACTCCTGGCTCCACTATGGGCCACTCCTCCGTTTTAGACAGGGCCTGGCCTAGAGGTCCCAAGCTGCATTCTCCTGTCCCCAGGACACCACTCTGTCTACACTGTCATCAGTGCAGGGGTGACTGGGGGACAGAGCGCACTTCCCCTTTCTGGCCTGTTCTTTTGGTTTCCTCAGCATCTCCCCTAGGGCTGTATGGATGGTGGAGACATTTTTGAAGGATTGGGACAACTAAAGGAAATTAGAGAATAGGAAGGGGAAGAGTTTTAAAAGCACATGGGTGTACACAATTGTGAATATATTAAAAGCTACTGAAAATTGCAGTGGTGAATTTTATCTCAATTAAAAAATTATAAGTATGTGACACATGACAGCATCTGTAGGCCAAAGAAAAATTCTCCACCCAACCAAAGTAAAACCTGTACTTGTTCTGTGAACCCATCTCAGTTCCTAGCCCTGCTCCTCCAAACCTCCATTCGTGGCAAATCCACACCTTCTCCCCACATCCCCACCCCCCAGAGGAATGCCATCCACTATTTATTGACTTTGGTTTTGTCCTGGGATCTATCTCCTTTTTCTTATGAAAACATCCATGGTGTTCTCCAGTAGTATGTTTCCCTAAGTCTGCATAGGCAGTCTTGATAACCTTCACAAAGGAATTTCAGCAGCACAGTGACGGGTGGGGCTTGATATCCTTTGAAAGTTTCCTACCAGCATGAGGTGCCTCTTCCAGATAGTTCCAGTAAGTAATTACACACCCCTCTACACAACTATACTACTTACCTCCCAAAGACAAATATTAATTCTCAGAGTCTAGTTCCATATTTAAAGTAAATACTTCCCTAAACATAACATCTGTAAAGATTCCTATATAGTTACAAAAACCACCTGAATGCTTTTGTAGAGCTGAGTCTGAAGGTTGTATATTTATTTTTTGGCTTCCAGGCCTTGCTCTAGTGCTGCCTCATAATAGAAAAATAACGCCTGCCAAAATGGAACTTTGAAAATTCTCACTGATTGCCACACAAAGGCCAGACAGAGGTTTAGAGGTTGGCAGTTAACAGCTTTTCAGCACCTCAGTCCACGTCACGCTCCTAAGCAGATATGGCCCTTGCCACCCCTGTAGACCCGGGAGGCCATACCATCTCCTGTAGCAGCATCTCATTTTGAGACACTGAGCATTTGCTCTCCCAGGATACATTGTGGTGTCACTCGTCTGCTTTTCCTCAACTCCAGTACACAAAATATCTTGTTTGATGTGTACAATTTCACAAATCATGAGACTAGCTCTATATTATTTCTTAGCCGAATTCTGCATTGCTGTCTATTTTATAATTTTGAGGTGATTGCTATGAAGAATAGTATATAGTTAATGTTCTTTTTTTTTCAATTCTAAAAGAGGAACTTTACCATAAATATTTAAAGTCAACCAGTTCTATTTCCAATTTATCATTATGAAAAGTTAGGACACCAGGTAATATATTTTATCAAATTTTCCTATGTTTTAGTGAGGCTGATGACTATAAAATTGGGACATAAAGGGTTACGTCCTTTTATAATGCTTTTTAGTTTTTTGGGGAAAAACAAAAAACATTCACTGGTGGATCTTACGTAGTAAGCTGTCTTTCATGGTACAGAATGAAATGATTGAGTGATAGTTGCCTTTTCAGTGGTGAAAGATGAAGTCATCCCATGACTGGTTTCCCACATTATCACAGTTGACTGGGTCAGGCCTGTGCTGCTGGTTGTCTCCTCTGTCCTGTGGGCAGATACACAGGGCCCCTAAGGGAGAGCACAGAGGAGGAGGAATGGGGTGGATTAAGCCTTTTCTTCCCAGTGGCAGTCATTCTGTGCTTTGAGGCTTGTAAATCATCAACCACATGCTACACCATGAGTCACTGTTGTTTCTTGGAAATTCCCTGGTTATGTTGTGCTTTGTCTCTTGGATGTGGGACTTTGGAAGTTGTAGTGGGGATGTTTACTTGGCTCTCAGATTGTATGCCTGGTTTAGTTGCACAACAGATATATCAATCACTCTCTTTTTATGTGTGTGTGTGAAATAGAACGTTCTGTATAAATGTTGTTTATATTCTGATTGGCTTCAGGATGAAATATTCCAAATAGGAAGCACCATTTCCAGAAATGGCTTCAACTTTAGCCTTATTGTTTGAATGATGTTAGTGTTGTACAGTGTTCCCCTTTCCTGCCTGCTTTGCTGTGATGTGTGTGCATGTGATTCCTCTAAACTATTCTTTGGTTTCCAATGTCTTCCATGGTATGTAGTGGTATAGTGATCAAGTATAACTTTTGAAATATCTGTGTAAGCAAGATAGTTACTTGTAATTTTGATTGATTTCCTTTTTACAGTTCCTCTATCCACATGTTGAAAGTCAGCCTCTTCCAGAGAACCATCTGTTATTGATTTCAGAAGAGAAATGTAAGTGTATCTTTATGTGGTATACAGGGACTTAATGAATGACACGTAGTCTCCTAATGAAGTGTGGGACATCAGTCTTCTGTATGTGCACTTGCCATTGTCAAGGGTCCACTGACCTCTGATGTTCATTTGAGACCTAGAATTCCTGTGGAAGGGCTTTTCCTTTGGCCTCCAAGTGGTGTTCCCTCAGGCTCTGCTCAGTTTCGTCATCCTGGGAATGATGGGTTCTTGTACACATAGATTTCCAGTTCCGTTATGTGCAGGTCATTTCTACCTTCTTTAGTCCATCCTTCTTTAGGGTGTCTGTCACAGTGGATAACTATGATATAAGGAGAGAGTCTTGGATGGAAAGAGGGGAAGCCTTTAGTAGCTAGTAGAATTCTGTGGCAGAACTTGAAAACACATACTAACTTGGCCAAATTCAGGTAGAGGCAAATAAGATTGGGATGTGAAAGGTTATGTCCTTTCACGATATTTTTTAGTTTGTAGAGGGGAGGGGAAGGACAGAATTCACTTGTGGAACTTATTTAGTAAGCTGTCTTTCATGTTATAAGGTGGAATTGTTGATTTATAGTTAGGACGGGCTTGAAGGGTTAGGTTTGTTTTTACTCCCTACATTCCTGCTCAATTTTCTGTCTCACATTTCTGTAACTAGAATGGGTAGAAGATAAAAACGCCTCCCCAGGTATCTTGTGTAATGACCTTTCTATCTGATATGTTCATACAAATAAGTGTTTGGTGTTTGGAAGTTGAAGATAAACCCTGCTGAATGAGCCCTTGTTAGCTCTGTATGAGGCTGATGATACCAGGGGTGGCAAACACTTGTTGAGGGAACCCAGGGGAGCAGAAGAGCTAAATGCTTCATGTATTGTCGATGTTGAATGGAGTAAATGCAGGACTTAAAATAGACTGTAAAGACAGGATGGAGAAAAGTGTGTGTGGGCTGTGTGTGTGTAAATATCTATTGTGAGATTACTGTCTGTGATTATATTGTTTTGCATCCAGTTGTTTAATCTGCATTGTTTTTATAAAAATTTTTTCACAACTGTTAGGTGAAAAGTCTAGTCATGTTTTTTCTGAAGGCTAAATTATCTTTTTGTTTGTTTGTTTCTTTTTTTTAAAGATATTGAGCAATTTTATATCCAAGTCACCCAAGAAGACGGAAATAGAGTGGTAAAGATTTGAAATTCCTTTCTGCTTCAGAGTACCCTCCACCCCCTGCCAAAGAGCTACATTTATAGACTGTTAAAGACAGGTTAATGTTACTGATACATAACATTTTATTTGATGTCTTTCAAATTATAGATGTTATGTTGTAACATGTGAAACAATACAGACATGAAGGAGTTAATTATCTCCTTTATCTCTCATGTTCTGAGGTGACTAATAATAGACTTGTGCAAGTCTTTCCACAGCTTTTACCAAACCCATACAAGGTTAGATGGACATATATGGGGATTCAATTGTTTTTACCAAAGTAGAATCATATACATTTACCTGCTGCTTTTGTGTTTGATTTTTACTTAATATATCAGAAGTATCACTAGAGGTTATTAAAGATATAACTTTTTTTCTAATTTTTATGCATATATACCTATACACATATATAACAAATGGGATCATAACATATATGCTGGGGTTTTATATAGTGTAATTTCATTTTTCTTTTGCTTGTTTTCTACATCTCCCTTTCCTTTTCACCTGTTACTTTTGTTCACAACCTGGTATGTATCCTTTCATACTTTTCTCCATTCTTATATATCTCCTACCACCCCCACCCCGACACACCCAGAGGTTTGTTTATTATTCATTCCTTCCTGATTCAACTTTGTGGAATTACCTACATGTCAACTAGAATGGCTCCAATTCGTTCTCTTTAGAAGTACATAATAGTCTCTGCTAGGGTTGTCCATAATTTTTCAACCGTTCTACTATGGGTGAACATTTGCTTGATTGCCAATTTTTTGTTTTTGTTTGGTTTACATTATAAATTATCTCAAATGTTTTTTTGTCTATAGCTTTACATATTGGTACTTATATTTTGGGAGGCTGAATCCTCAGGAATGGATTGTTGGGTTGATGGGCATATGTATTTAATAAATTTTAACAAATTTTTGCCAGCTTGCTTTCCAAAAAACTTCTAATGATTGACAGTATAATATACAAAGTATGAGAGTAACCTTTCCCTCTGTCCATACCATTATAGGTGCATTTACATTTTTAAAAATTTCCAATTTGATGGATGTAAGTTGATATTATCTTAGCCTATATTTCCCTAAATGTTAGTGAATTAAAGCATCTTCTCATATGCTTATTGACTATTTGATTTGCTTTTCCAAAAATTATGTAGTTATATCCTTATCTATTCAACTGAGTTTTTTCTTGATAAATTTGTATGAGGTATTAATATATTATTGATATTAAAAAAATGATTTCCTTCAGTATTTAAGTAGACTATATCAAAAGTCTTTCTCTGAAGATTTTAGTGTTTCTCTGAAGATTTTAAAGATGGGTGAACAAAATTGAAATAGAAAATAGCACTTATTAATTATGTATTGGCTATTGAAAGCCTGGATGAAAAATGACCAGGAGAAAGTGTGTGGCTGGAGCTCTAGGCCACCTGTGGCTAAGTGAATGGACGTACAAGAACAGGGCTGGGAGTCAGAAGAGGGTGAAGCCCAAAGCCAGTGATGAGAATTGAGAAAGTTAAATAAACAGCTTGGGTCAAGAACTGGGAATGAATGTAGACAGAACTGGCTGATTAGAAGAGAGTTCAGGAGATGAGAGAGACTATGGGAAGAGAGATGGAAGGGGACACTTGTCAGAAGCCCAGAACGGATTCTACCAGCCAAGACCATGCAGCCTTTGCATCCTTCATCCACATGTGCTCTTCTGAGAGGCACTTCTGCCCTCAGTCTTAAAGGCTTAGATGATAGCTTCTTATAGCAGTATGCAGTTCCACATATTTTTCACAACATTGTTGCATGGTAGACATGCTATTACAGTTACCCCTACTTTTACAGAGAAGACAGCCACCAAGACTCAGAGGTGAGGTAACTCTAGAGAGGGACAAAATTGAGATTTGAACCTGGGTATGCTACACTCTAATGCCCATGTTCTTGTCAGCATATACCTTTACCTGGAAGTATTCCCAAATCTACCACAAACTAACAAATTTCAGGAAAATGGGAATATTGCCCAATGTTTAGACAGATAGGTACTCTTGGATCTTTTCTCCAGCATCACTTTCCTCTGGCCTACATGTAATGGACCTGTGCAAGCAAGAAATACAGGTATATGACTCTATGCCATGCATCTCCCTCAAGTTCCAAGTTAGCCTTGGTGGAGAAATCCCTGTTAGGATTAGAGAGGGTTTAGGAATGAATATGGACCATTCTGATATTCCCTTTTTTCCTCAATTTTTCTACCTGTCTTTATTCTTTACTCATCTGTCTCAAAGTAAATTAATTTTGCTTGATAAGCATTTTGAGAAAATGAATTCTTTACTCCTCTGTCGAGAGGTCAGCTGATATGCTGAAAGGGCACTGGCAGGGTGCCAGGACACTGGGACTCCAGGCCTTGTTGAGCTAACTGTGCAGCCTAATGTAATCTCTCTGGGCCTCAGCTTTTTCACCTGTAGAGGGGTTGAATTAGATGGTTTCTGGAATCTCCTGGAGTCTTCTGATTCTAAAACTCTATAGTTCTTTCTGTTACTTAGTAAGCATATCTTACACTTGTAATATCCTTGACAATTTACTCTTGCACACCTTCTCTCATTTTGCTTATTCTGAACAAGCATTCCTTGGGTACTTTTACATGCCAGAAACTCAAGACATTGAAAATATAAGGTGAATAGAACAGTGCATACTCATTGGGGGAGACGTACAGCATTAAACGAAGTCTAACTGTAACATAAGCATGCCAAAGCAGCATAGGAATACAGAGGGCGAGGAGCTATGCCCTCATCTGGGGAGGTGCAGGAAGGCTTTTTGCAGGAGGTAATGCCTAAGTCAGATGTTGAAAGATGAGTAGGTAAGTACTTCTGAGAGAAGGGCAATATCACCATACTCATTGTGGAAGACATAAAGGTAAGAAGCTTGCCCAAAGTCACGTGGTTGGTTTATAGCCAAACTGGGGTCATTGCCTGGAACTTGCCCCTTCCACACCTGAGCTTTTCCTTGATATCACAGCCTCTGTCTTTGGTAGTAAAAGTTTCTTGTCTGCAGAGGCCTGGCTGAGGGGGTTATGTCCAGGATAGGAAGTTCTAAATCTTCTGTTAATGAAGCTATTGATTTGTGGTAGGTGTGGTCTTGCTTTCAACAGCCCCAGCCTGTCAAAATAGCAACAAGAATGAAATAGTATACAGTAAAGTGTTTGGGAGGAGGAAGTGATGAAATGGTGTCTTAAAACTTTTCTGGAAAGACCATCTGTGTGTGTGTGGGATGTGGTGGAGCTGCTAAAAATAAACAAAAATATTTACTTGTATCAGAAAATTAGGATATGCAAAAAAATGAATTTCAGATGTATTCTCCTTTAAAATAATTATTATAAAATCTTTTTGTCTCTTTAGGTGATTAAAAATTCTGGCCATCTCCCAAGAGATAGAATAGCAGAGGATTTTGTTTGGGCTCAGTGGGATATGTCAGAGCAGAGATTATACTACATTGACTTGAAGGTAAAAACTAGACCGTGGGCATTGCTTTTTATAGGAACAATTTGATTTTTTTTTTTTTTTTTTTTTGTCTTTTTGTCTTTTTTCCGTGTCCGGCAACGGATCGCAACCCTCAGTGTTGCCCCCGTACCGGACCGGGGACCGGCAACGGGATCGCAAGCCTCGGTGTTGCTCCCGCGCCTCGCTCAGCCAGTGAGCGGGAGCCGGTCTGTATGTGGGATCCGAACCCTCGGACGGGAGCGCCGCCGCGCTTCCCAAGCGGCGCACTATCCAGTGCGCCACCGGGCCGGCCCAACAATTTGATTTTGACATTATCAATACCACAATTTATTAATCACTACATTTTCATTAACGGGAGCAGTCAATGAAGGTTTATTAAAAATAATGAAAAGGGTTACTTACTATTTGCTTTTTCAATGCTTTCTTTTTCTAGTGGTTTTTTACTTTTTTTTTTTGTAATATATCATTCTTTTTCTCTTTTAGAAATCAAGGAGTATCTTAAAATGCATCCAGTTTTATGCTGATGGAAATTTTAAGTTAATGGTAAGTCCAGAGAATGATCAGGCTACGGAAAATTTTACAACACGTTGTCTTCTCTCCTTCTCCCTTCCCCCCAACTTTTTTTGTAGCAGCTGGCTGGTAGGGGCATCTAAACCCATCACCTTTTGATATATAAACAGCATTATAATAAACAGCATTTTGGCATTCTTGATGTTGTGTTAGTCACTTGCATGAGCAAGTAAAATAGTTCTTGCCGTCTCAAGGTTTCAACTCTATAACAAATGCAATTAATATAAGTGATTAGAAGAGCACACACATGAAATCTCCACTGACTGAGTGCCTTTAAAGAAGCAAGTGTTAGGGCTGGCCCGGTGGTGCACTGGAGAGTGCACTGCTTGGGAGCGCGCTCCTGCCGAGGGTTCGGATCCCATGTGGAGACTGGTTCCCGCTCACTGGCTGAGCGTGGTGCGGGTGCGACACCGAGGGTTGCGATCCCGTTACTGGTCAGTAAAAAAGACAAAAAAGGAAAAAATTAAAAATAAAAAAATAAAATAAAATAAAGTAAAATTTTAAAACTTTTAATTTAATATCCTCAGAAAAATAAGAGAATATTTCATCCACACAACAAGAATCTGATGCTATAAAAAAAAAAATTCAGAGAACAAGAAAAGTGTTTTTGAAATTAAATGCTGTGATTGTAGAAATGAAACTTTCAATAAAAGGGCTAAGGCTCAAAGGTGAGACAATCTCCCAGAAAGTAAAACAAAAAGTCAAAGAGATATAAACTATTAGAAAAATGATTAAAAAAAAAAAAAAGAAGCAAGTGTTAGAGTGGGGACTAGCAGGAGGTAATAGGTGTGTTCTGTAGCAGATAGCTTTAAGTGGTAGCAAGTTATTTGATCCTAAAAGGCTTGTGAGGATGATGGATTAGGGAATAAGGAAAAAAAAAAACAATGAGAGGATTATGTTTAGTAAAAATCTAGCATTACTCCTGGAAAAGCTATTTGGAGTGTTAGCCTTGTGGCGAGAAGTCACTAATATCTTTATCTGAGATGAGACAGCACGTTATTCTTCTTGATTAGGAATAATGTTGGTATCTGATACAGATTGGTATCATACCATTACAGGAGTTTCATTTACCCTTACTGCCCTCTTTCTTTCTTTGCCTCTCCTACTGTCCATTCCTTCCTTACTTGCTTGTCTGTGTCTCGTAAAAGACTCCTGCTTCCAATTAGCCTATTATACAACCTATTTATGATATTGAGATCTAAGGCAAAGTTTGCCAAGCATTAGCTCCTTAAAAAATAAATATGCATCAAGCTTGTGACTGTAGGTGAACTGAGAATATTCCCAGTGGACTTTCTGTGCTGTGGCTCTGGATATAACCTCTAAGGATAATGATGGTTAAATGGGCTGTTCATCGTTAGGCAAACACAGCACTGTCAGGTTCCCTCTGGGTTTCAGAACTGTCATCGTTTAATGTCATTTTGGGGGTTCATTTTCTCCTGCTTTGTTTTGGCAGTTTGAAGCCCCCTTGGACATAGCATTAAGTGATTCAGGATTGAAGTAAGTTATTCATATTTTGTTACTAATTTTTATAGTCACAGGCAAAATTATTATATTTATTCTTAATCCATAGTATGTAGATAAAAGGACGGGTGGATATTCTGTGTGAGCATGTGTGTGTGTGTGTGTGTGTGTGTGTGTCTTTTAAAGTATTCCTGTTCTCTTTAGGGAATATAAACAATGTTATTAAGCAGGATTTTACATGTAAAGTCAATTGTATTGATTTTCTGAGCCATTTATTTCTTTAGGGTATCTCTATTTTGATGTGTGGAAGTGCTCTTCTCTCTGTGATTAAATGAAAGGATTCAGTGAGTCAGCTCTCAGCTACAGTTAGAATCAACCATCAAAACCCTTTTCTTGTTGCCATCAAAGAGGATGTCACAGGTCAATCCACTTATAGCTCAGCTGAATCTGTTGCTTTACTTTTTTTCAGTTTTCTCTTTAACACAAAAGGCAAAATTTTCTCTTCTTCCAGACTGCTTTATGTGTAGTAAAAATGGACACTTTTGAAAAAATAAATACAAGATCATCAACACATAGAAAAAATGAAAGCCTTCCTGAATTAATGATAAAATGTTGTATATTCAGTAGCTTTATTTTACCATAGATGAACATTTAGTTGTTCATTTATTTTGAAAGGTAGTATATGTATTACTCTAAATCAGAATAAAGCTATAAAGATGTAAGTTAAAACATGTAAATAAACTTTTTTCTCTGTTGCTAAGCCAATGACATTTATGTGCCATGTATTTTTTTAAAAAAGAACAGAATTTATTAACCCAAGTAAAGTTATATACTTAAATATCTCAGGGAAATGTTTCTACTTCTGTGGGTATATTATAGTGGTTACTCACATCCTTTACGAGGAAATGTATTTTAAAATGCATTCTGTAATTTCTTATTCTTTGTTTTTAGACTTGTCAACTTTGGATATGATTATCGTCAAGACCAAGAAGAATTATCCAAATACCCGACTCTGTGTGTTTTTACCAACCATACAGGTAGAACCAGGGTTGTATTTATCAATTTATTCAACTATATTTGTTCTATACAAAATCTAGTTATTGTTTAGCTGTATGGATCCTGAAAATGAAATATAACAGGGCCACATTCTTATATAGCGGATCATGTGGATTTTCATATATCAAGTTATCTTCTCTACTAATTTTATACATGTGCCATCTGTATGAAAGAAGCCACAGTCAGCAGGGTCATTGTGCTAATGGGTATTATTTATATCATTCTAATAGAGGAGATGGATTCATATTTAATCAATTGACATTTTCTCACCTGATGCTTTCTGTGTTAGGCTTACTGATGTGTTGGGTTCTAAACTCATGTACCTAGCTTTAAAAGCCATGCTATAATCTACTGATCTAACAATCAGAGCTTGACATAAAGTATTAATGTACAATATTCTGTCTCTTAACACCTTTTTATTGTAGATATAGAAAATGGAGAAACAAAGGAATACCTGAAAATGAGAGGAGATGAATGTGATTACATTCAATAAATCTGCTGTAAAAAGTCATTAACCTTAATCATCTAAATAATCAGTTCTAATAACTAAATATAGCAGCCATTTTTAATATTCCCAACTTGATCCCAAGCACAATTACTACTTGAATTGAGTAGCACTTGGACTAATATTGCATTCCTTTAAAGCCAAATTCTGTGGTATTCACCCATTAAGCCAATACTTACTGAGCACGTACTGTTTGCTGAGTATTTGGGATACAATGATAGAAAAATAGACCTAATCTTTATAAGTATAGAGGTTACTATCTGGTGTGGGTTTTAGATATTACAAAAGTGCACACATAGTATTTACAGAGAATTATGATAAATGTTATGAGAATTATAGGAAGCCACGAGAGTGTATGATAGAGGTTTAATAGAAGACACTAGTATCCTCAGATATGTTCTAGTTCAGCCAGTCCGTCCTTGTTTCTCCCTCCCTCCAAGACATTTTATCCCATTCTCTCCTAGTCCTGAAAATTGTCTCCTTTTCCCTTTCTCCATAATCTGTCCCTGGTCTGCCTCAGCCACATGAGTTCCTCCATAAACTAATCTTGTAGTTCAAGGAAGAAAGCAAAAGATAGGAGGAAAGGAAGATATTTCAGTTGAGACATGAAGGATGTGTATGAACTAAGACCAATGTGACTGAAGTAGAGTGAACAAGCGGGAGAGGGGCAGGGGCTGACTCTGTAACGCCTTGTGGATCATGGAAGGATTTCAGATTTTATCCTAAGAGTTCTGAGAAGTCATTGAAGATTTTTTTCTTAATATAACAATTAATTTTGAGAATGCTCAAGCATAACAAAAAGTTCAAGAATATAATGAACCTACATGCACCTTTTACTTTATTTTTTTATTTATCATTATACAATGTAGTTGATTTTCATGGCCCTTTACCAATTCCTCCCTTTACCACCACATCAATATCGTATCAGTTCTCCTATCAAGTTCAAGGAATTATTGTGATTGTTGTCTTTTTTTTTCTATTTTATTTATTTTTATCAGCTCCCTCATATAAGTGAGAACGCGGTATTTCTCTTTCTGTGCCTGGCTTATTCACTTACCATAATTTTCTCTAAGTTCATACATGTTGCTGCGAATGGTAGTATTTTGTTCTTTTTTTTTATTGCAGAGTAGTATTCCATTGTGTAGATATACCACATTTTTCTTATCCATTTGTCCGATGATGGGCATTTAGGCTGGTTCCAACTCTTGGCTATTGTAAATAAGGCAGCAAAAAACATGGGAGTACAGGAGCAAGCACAGGCAATCAAGGGAAAAATAAACAAATGGGATTATATCAAACTAAAAAGCTTCTGCACAGCAAAAGAAGTGAGTGAAAAGGCGTCAAATAGAGTGGGAGAATTTGCAAAGTATGCATCCAACAAGGGACTAATATCCAGAATATATAAGGAACTCAAACAACTTAACAGCAAAAAAACAAGAAAACTGTTTTAAAAATGAGCAAAGGAGCTGAATAGGCATTTCTTAAAAGAAGACATGTGAATAGCCAACAGACACATGAAAAAATGCTCAACATCACTCAGCATCTGGGAAATACAAATCAAAACCACATCGAGATACCAATCTCACTCCAGTTAGGCTGGCTAATATCCAAAAGACTGAGAATAACAAATGCTGGCGAGGATGTGGAGAAAGGAGAACCCTCCTACACTGTTGGTGGGACTATAAAATGGTGCAATCATATGGAAAATGGTATGGAGGTTTCTCAAACAACCTCAGGTAGATCTACCATATGACCCAGCTATTCCACTGCTGGGAATATATGCAAATAAATGGGAATCATCATGTTGAATGGATACCTGCACTCCCATGTTTATTGCAGCTCTATTTTTACTTCAAATAATCATATTATTTACAGTATTTATTATTCTCAGTACATATAGGTACCATTTTCTTCTTCTTGACCAAACCATTTAAAAATAAGTTGCAGACATGACACTTTACCACTAAATAATTCAACACATATATCTTTAGGTTAAAGATGCTCTCCTACTTATACATAACCTCCATCCCATTATCACTGAACGAAATTAATTAATCAATAAACTTTATATTCACATTTCATAACTATTTCAAAAATGTCATGTATGTATATGTGTGTATATATGTGTACGTATATAAATAATATATATTTATGTCTGTAACTTTGAAAGTCAGGATTCCATCAAGATTCATGCATTACATTTGGTTAACTCTTTGTAGTTTCTTCTGATATACAACAATCCTCACCTCCTATCCTGACTTTTTTTTTATGTCCACAACATTGACATTTTGAAGAGTCTGAGCCATTTGCCTTATGGAATGTCCTTCATTCTGTCTACTTGTTTCCTTGTGGAAGCATTTAACTTTTCCCTCTATCGTTTACATTTCCTGTAAATTGGAAATTGCACAAAACTGTGTAAAGGCACAGTTAGATATGGGCTAAATGTTTTTAGTAAGAATACTTCATAGGTGATGTTGTGAACTTCATTTGCATCAGATCAGGAAGCATATGATGTTAGGATGTCTTACTGTTACTGATGCAAAGTTTGGTCATTTGGTTAAGTGGTAGTCACTGTCTCCTTTGTAAAGGTACATTTTAACCTCTGAATTAGTAACTTGTAGGGTGATAACTTTGCCACCATGTGACTATCCTGTTCCCTAGTGACTTTTCACTTGGCAGTTTTAGGATCCACCGATGTTCTTCCACTGAAGTGTTCTACGCAGGCAGTGACATGATTAGATGTGTATTTTTTAAAGATCACAGTGGCTGCTGTGCGAAAACTGGGTCAGACGAAGCAAGAGAAAAAGTGGGGAGATGAGCACTTAGGATGAAGTTGTAGTCGTTTGTTTCAGATGATGGTGGCTTGAACTAGGGTGGGCAGTAGAAGTGGACAGGACCAAATAGGTCTGAGATGCATTTTGGAGATGGAACTAAGAAGGCTTGTGAGTTAGATGAAGAGGAATGGTTCTCAGGTTTCTGCTATCAGCAAATGGGTGAATGATGGTGCCATTCACTGAGGTATAGGGGGTTTGGGACTTAGTTTTGTTTTGGATTGTTAACTAAGATCTGGAGCTTAGAAGAGGGTCAGGCCTGGCAGTGAGTAAATGTGGAAGTTGTCAGGATATAGCTGGCATTGAGGCTGTGGGAGAAGTACGGGTCAGAAGGGAAGGTGGTTAGGAATAAAGTCTGGGAGCACAAATATATAAAGATTAGGCAGAACATCTAAATGGAAAGGAAAGCTAAAACAAGTGTGGTTTCATAGGAGCCAAACGCAGAAAGGGGTTCACAAAGGAGAGAGTGGCTCACTGTTGATAGGTAGTGAGAGGTGAAGTCCTCTAGCAGTGTGGAGGTTTTGGGCATCGAGGTGAAGTCTTGATTGTGCTGGGTTAAGTGGCATATGGGAGATGAAAAAGTCGTAGCATGTGTAGACAAGAGAGAGAGGCAGTGGCTGGACGGGGAAGTGAGATTTAGGTAATGTTATTTTTAAGATGGTCGAGACTCTAATATGTTTGAGTGCTTACAGGGTATATTTAGTGGAGCGGGAAGAGGGCAGTGCACAGCAGAGAGGAGTAACTGGTGGGATGGGACGGGATCCAGAGCTCCTATGGAGGGAGGGGGTAGGTTCTTCCCTGGTACTTTGCTTAAACCCGTTGGATATAAACAATCATTTTAGGCTTTAATTCCATGTGGCTTTTTATTCTTTTTCATTTTTTTCCCACAGGAATTGCTCATGAACAGTAGCAGCTGTAACATATAAATAGGCTGTCTGTGACATACCTTATTCAATAAGATGTTAGGTTTATCTGGCCTGAGATGTGAGAGAGTCTGTTTTTCCCCCCTTTCTCAGCAGTGTACGAGAGAGTAAAAACTGAGCCATATTCTCTGCAATCACCTTGAAATGAAAAAAAAAAGTCCGTTTCAAATGAGAATCCTTCTAGATTTGAGATGAAACAAGCCAGAGAAGCAACGTTTTGTTTTTTGACTAATAAGTTGTCAGTTTATGTATTTCCCAAGTTAGTTAAAGATTATTTTTTTACCTTTGTCTTTAAAACAAACAAAATCTATCGCAGCAAAGTAGATTGGAGAAAGGAGCAAATAGTCTAATCTAAATATGGCTTCTCCTATAATAGCTTCATTCTCCACTGGTGAGTAGACCAGAAAACATGGTTCATGAAAGAAGTGCCCACAGACTTGGGCTTATAGAGACTCACTTTATTTCAACTATTTACATTAATGATGATGATATGGTATTTGCTTATTTGTCACATCTTGGTCATTGGGAGCTACTTTGTCCTTTCGGCATTACTTTTTACATTCTTGAAAGCATCTCTGCCCTGGATTTCCCTGCCCTAAGAAATGAAGTTAGCCACCTTCTAAGGAACCAGAGGTTAAAATCTGGATGATGCGCATGGTCGTGAGAATTGATGGTGGGCAAAAGTGCTGCTGCTGTCAGGCTGCTTGTGTATTATTTAAGATGATGAGTTCATATACATTTTTTCTAATCTGTGACAAGAGGGTAAATCAGAGACTTTGTAAGCATTTAGAGGGAGGAGGGTTTCGGTAATTGGCCACAATAATCAACTCATTGTATATCGACAAAATAAAATTAGGGGAAAAAAAAAAGTTAGGTGAGCAAGAAATAAACTTCTTCAAGTCATTATACAAAAAAAAAAAAAATAGAGAAAAGAAAATATTCTCATTCCTTCCCTATCTGATAGCTCTGAAGCTGTACTTGGGACACTTTTGTATTTTCTAAGTTGGACGTTGTAATTCTTTCCTGTGTCCCATCTACTGGGAGGTAGTGAGTGGGAAAATGTGTAAATTCTCCTTCCTGTTCATATAATTGCAAAAGTTACTCTTTACAAGTTCCCAGAATTAGGCCTGTGGTTTAGCATTTTATAGCACCTTTTAATAATTTTTCCAATGAGATAATTTCCCTTGGAAAACTTTGTTCATAATAGCTTTCATTGTCCAAATGGTTTCCCGAAGGCTAGCCAGTGTTGAGATGTTATCTTCATCATTGATGAATTTTATTAAACATCTCTGGATACACCCCTAAGAGCATGCTTTTTTTTTTTTTTTCCAAACTGTGACTTCCCCCAACTTGTATAGCAGCAGGATTATTCTGGAATAATAATAATAATAGCAGCTAACATTTATAGCCAGATATAACTTCTTTGCCAGAGCTATATACACACTTATTTAATTCTCACATAAGAACCTTATTAAATAGGTTCTGTATTTCCTTTTTGTTACACTTCCCTCTGTGTAACAGAGACAAAAAAAGAATTATTCAAAGTAACATGAATACCAAGTGACTGCCTTTCAGCAACTCCCCTGTTAGAGGGATAAAGCTGAATGTGACAGCCTTGATTCAAAGTTAGCTTCTCTATTTTATTATAAAGACAAAGAAGTTTCACAAGAAAAATCAGTTGATTCAGTCATCAAAGAAACACATAAAAACAAAGGCAGTGTAAAACTAGTAACAGCAGTAAAATTAACAGTGTGACATTCCAGAATGCAATTTGTAAAAAGCTAAGTTGATCCACCAACAAACAGCTTGCCCTTAGCAAACATTTTCTTTCCCTACAGCAATTTCCTCAGCATATTTAAACAACAATCAAGCAGTAGGTTAAATTGCTCCTCAACATATCTTAATAACAATCAGTAGGTTAAATTGCTCCAAGGGCATCTGTCCTTGAGCCAGCAATTTTGCTGTGTTACAATTCTTTATCTACAACAGAGACTTTATCTGGGGAAAGTTTCCTGTCTTTTGCAAGCTTAACATTTCTATGTGTAATTCTAAAAAGTTAGGCTATATCTGAAATTACAGGACTTTCGAAGCTAGGCCCTGTGAAATACATTTGCTTTATAAATGTTAGTACACTCCACATCTTTCTTTACAGATGTGGACACTGAGGCTTAGGAAATTTTATTAACTTGCCTGAAGCAATACGTTTAGTAAGTCAAAAGCCAGGATTCAAATCCAAATATGCCGATTTCTAAAGTGGTTCTCAACCTTGGTTGCACAATCTTTTAGTTAACTTTAAAAACTCCTCATGTTCTGTGTCTCACCTCCAAAGTTTCTGACTTAATTGATCTGAGATGGAGCCTGGGCATCTGTGATCCAAAGTAAGTTGAATATACTGTCAGAGTTAAGAGCCAGCTCTAGAGCTGTGTTGTCCAATGTGGTAGCCACATGTGGCTGTTTAAGTTAATTAAAATAATATTAAAAATAGTTCCTCAGTTACACTAGCCACATTTCAAGTGCTCAATGACCCCATGTGGCTAGTGGCAACTCAGCTGGGCTACACATGTACAGAACATTTTCAGCATTGAAGAAAGTTCTATTCGACAGTTTTGCAAAGCCTGTGTACACCCCATTTCTCCTTGCCGTATCTCTACTTCCCTTTGGGATTGGGAGGCGGAACCAAGCCATGACCTAGCAATTTGGAAATATTTGCTTATGAGATCTGAATATGGTTCTCAGTGGATATAATTAGGTGCATGTATTCTGTATCTCACTTTAACGCTCTTCAAAATGAGACAAAACAATAACCTCCATTCTCTAAAGGATGGTGTGTGGAGGATTTTGCTAGAATGGAGGTTATGATCTTCCATATTTGGTTGATATTTTTGTGTTCTTTCCTCGGAGGATAGATTCCTAAAAGAAGAATTACTGGGTCAAAAGGTGTGACTATATTTAATCCTCTGCAAAGCTATTTTTCAGAGAGGTTGTTCCAGTTCACTCGTCCACTACTGTTTGAGAATGCGCCAGGAAGAACATGCTCCTTTGATAGGAAAGTTTTTAAAATGATAATAAATGGTAATTTGAAAGGAAAAATATGGTGCCTTGTTTTAATTTTTATTTCTTTATTACTTGAGCACTAGAGAGGTGGCTGTTTTCTGTTTGCTAGTAATTTCTTGCTCCTTGTGATTATAGAACATAAAAGAACTGGATAAGCCAGCAGTTTTTTGCTGATAGTATGTTTACTGTATGAAAGTCATTAAAGTGGTACATGGGACTTCTGTAACTCTTGTAATTATTATTTTGTTTATGCTTTAGTAATAGATTACTTTTATTCTCAGTGAGTTTGCTGTAATTTTAAAGAGTTATCATTGTGTGCTCAGTAACCATAACAGTAATTTTACATCTAACAGAATAGCCACCATTTTTATCTGATAAAATTATTCCTATTCCTTTTTGTTATTTTGTGTTTAAGATATTGCAATAAAATGTACTTCTAACAGTACATTTCAGTTTTAAACATCATTAAAAATATTCACTAATGATAAATATTATAACAGAATGCTTATAAATGTCCTTGAATAGCCTTCTTAGGGAAAATAAGCTTTTATTCCTACCATGATTCTTTGATAAAGGAACTAATGGAGTATAACAGAGGAAATATTGAAATCCAATGAAGTAGAGTGGTGGTCAAATTTACACAGCTAGTTAATATTAGCTCTTGGACTAGAACCCAGGTTTCCTGACTTCTTGTCAAGTTCCTTTCTACTTCACAATCTCCTATTTCAGTTAATCACGTGAACGTTAGCATTAGAAGTATCAGTTTAAGCATAACGTTGTTATCTGTAGGTCATCGATGGACATTAGTTTATCCATATAGCAACAGATGCTAGAGATAATGAGCAGTTTTACACATTCAGAGAGGGGAAGGCAGAGCATCATCTGGGGTGATGGGATAAGCAAAGGCGCTCTATACCAGCTCTCCTTTGGCCTTGGGCTAAGACATTCAGTGACCTGAGGATGGGTGGTTGTGGGCTCACACACCACATCTGTTCTTATTGCCTTGTAAGATAGATCACACTTTGCCTTTCAGTCAAGGTAAGCAAGAAGACTGGAAACTTTCTGTAAAGAAGAGAACATGTTTTTTGATAAACTGGTGTTCATGGCTGTTAGTAGTAATTGGAAGGGAAGCAGCTGGATAAGAGGGCAGGGCCGTGTGTGCATATTAGGAGAATCTCATGAAGCTTTGGAAACTCTAGACTCCCACGATATCTTATACGGGAGGGTGCCTATTCCTTTTCCCATCCTTCAGTAGCCTACCACAGTACATTGCTTATAGTGTGTGCTGAATAATTATTGATTTGGAATTTCTTAGCAACTTGTTAATAGACCACTTCTAGAATTTGGGAATGATCTGTGAGGTAAGATGAGGCAGGACATCTAAAGGAACAGAAGTAAGGTTAAGTGGCTTAGGAAACTTTTTATTTATCTATGATGCAGATTCTTTTAAACTATACTAAATACTTTCTTTCTTCTAGGAAGTTTGTGTGTATGTTACAGCCTGAAGTGTGCCTCTTGGGAACAAATCACGTATTCTGTGTTTTACTTTCATAAAGGTATTTCTCATTTATTTATTTATTTACCTATTCCTTAATCACTTTTCCCAAATAGTAGCAAATTAGGCTTTAAAAGTCTTATTACCTTGCAATCAATTTTTATCAGTATATTCTGTATCCGTATACCTACATGATACATGTTTCCTGGAAAAATTCACTAATGGTGAATATTAAGTTAGCTATTTTTATATACCATATATATTTTTTATCCTTGTCTATATCTTTTTCTGGGCCTGTGGACCAATCCTAATGGACGTATTTGTTTGCTTTTTAGTTATTACTAATCGGAAAGTATCTATAGATTTAACTTACACAGTTACATAGGGTTTTAGTTAAAAGCCTCTGTGATCTCAGACCTAAACAGGTTTTAGACCTTGCATTTATTCCATTTCATACATCTGTGGCCCAGGATATTGATATGTGAACAGGCCGGGGAGAAGGAGTAAAATGACCAACCTTTGCTAGTTCTGTATTTGACCACAGGTATCCTTTAATAGTTCTAGTCAGAACCATGCTAAAGAGTATTTACTTTGTTTAGTTCTTTAAAATTAGTATATGTGTAGTACATACTGTGGGTGGAGTTAAAATTTTTTTCCCCAATATTTTAAAAATTTATGCCAGGCCACACCAGAGTTTGTTATTCTGCAGGAGTGCCTAATATTACCTTCAGAAGTTAGAGATCAAGGTAAAAAAGTTTAAGAATTTACTCAATCATGGAGAAACTAAAAGTAACTTCAGACCTGCGTGTATATACTTAAATAGTCTAAGTTTGAGATTTTGTGGAAAGTTTTCACCCATTTTTCTATTGATTAATGATTAAAATCAGTAAGCGCTTATGGTCTTAGATCATACATGAGCCCAGAACAACTACTGGATTGTGACTGGATTCAGATGATCCACCTTTACTGCTAGCTTTTGGGGAATGAGGGGAACCTTGAAATCTAGAAGTCAGAAGATGCTCGCTGTATCAGTTTCACAGTTACTGAAAGTTGGGAGTGTTACGTAGAGTTTCTGCCTTGGGCGGAGTTCCAGCTCTTTGTTTTTTTAACATTTTTCTCTGGCTTCATGTTTCTCTCTGCAGGACACGGCAAGACCTTCACTGCTGCTCTTGGTAATGCTGGCTCACATGTGGCAAAGGGCATTACTTTTCTCAACCTTGGTGGGTAATGGAGAGATACACATCTCTCTGCTCTGTTCTTCTAGTACTTGCTAAGCCTCAGCCCGCACTGTCTCATTTTCTATTCTGTGAACCTCATTTTTTCATGCCTCTTCAACACTTGAATTGTGCTGGCAATCGCTGACCCTTTTGAAGCCTGATGGGAGAAGGTTTTCTCTGGAATACAACCCTCCCTCTCAACTTTATTAGCCTTTAGGGTAGAGGTAAATCTTCCCTTTTTAACGAACTTAGGCTAGGAGCTCTCCTATGGTTTTGGTAGTAGTCCTGAAAAGCTAGTTATTAGTATGAAAATGATGGCCATGAATGAGATGTTTCCTAACAGCCTGTGAGAAATAATACATTATGTTGTCCCTTGATTCTAGAGAAGATAAGAGCCTTTTGAAAATTGTCCATTCCCTGTTGCTAATCATGAAAAGCTTCCAGAGCCCGTTAATGATTTACAGGTCAGCTTGAGAGAGTTGTTTTCATTGCGAAAAATGGTAAAGGGAACCTGAGTGTTGGGTTTGAGCACATTAAGGGAGTCTATAATGAAGAAAATAAAAGGTTTATTATACCTATTGTACCTCCCTGCATAAGGCTGCTTTTCTGTGCCAATAGGAATGTGGGGCACAAGCAGTTTAGCACAAGACCAAGTAATAGAACTGTTACTTGCCTACATACATGACATGACACAGTACTTAAAAATGAAAGCATCAGGTTTAGAGCACATGATTCTTTGATATCTTTTTCTATCCCTGTTCCGCAGTATGTCTATCATGACAAAGGTTTAGGAAAGTACGATGTGAAGGAACTGAGCAAAATGAGAACCAAAACTGATAAAGTCCCTAGAAGGATTTTTATTTTGAATGATATTATTGATGAGGTTAGGTATCCTATGCTAAGTGGGCCAATAGGTGGCAAATTTTAACATGATCTCTGACCTGTGGGAAATTGCCTTAGAGAAGCCTGGTTCCACTGCTTCCTGTGGTAAGAGGTAAGTATAAGGTTTCCTGGGTCTGGGACTTGATTCTAATCAGCATCCCATCTCCAGAGTGATGTGGGAAACTTTCCACTGAAAAACTTAGCATATTTTGAGGGCAAAGGTGTCCTTCCTTTTTTTACTCCTGGGAATGACTTGAAAAATGCAGGCATGATTTAATCTGTGGTTTTCAGTGTGGAGAGTGCAGAAATGCAAGAGCTTTGTAACAGTAGGCTGTCTTACATACGCTGTATTTCCTTCTGAAGCATATCTTATTTGAAAGGCACAAAATTGCACTCTAAGTTAAAAGTGTTCTAGGGCTAATTTTTATGACAGTATTACTTTTGTTGAGTATTTTTTGCTATTCAATTGCATGCAATTTCTCTGAATTGTCACCCTATTAAAAGGGGCTTATATTGACTGAAATAGTAAAGAATAGAGTTTTTCGGAAATCTTCATGAATTCGAGACACCTCTATAGAGGAAAGATATGATTATAAATAAAAAATATGCCATTTATTTAATGAATACTACATTCTAAGTATTTTACTTACCCTGATCCTTACAACAATTCTACTCGGTGATGTTATCCTCATTTTACAGATAATGAAACTCAGGCCGAACGGGTGAGATACATGCCCAGATTTCTTTGTGTTTATTATGAGGGACACAATATTCCTTTCTTAAAAAAAAATTTTTTTTAGGGCCGGCCCGGTGGCGCACTGGATAGTGCGCCGCTTGGGAAGTACGGTGGCGCTCCCGTCCGAGGGTTCGGATCCCACATACCGACCGGCTCCCGCTCACTGGCTGAGCGAGGCGCGGGAGCAACACCGAGGCTTGCGATCCCGTTGCCGGTCCCGGTCCGGTACGGGGGCAACACTGAGGGTTGCAATCCATTGCCGGACTCGGAAAAAAAGACAAAAGAAAAAAAAAAAAAAAAAATTTTTTTAAATTGACAAATAATAATTCTGTATATTTATGGAGTACAATTTGGTCTCGATACATGTATACATTGTGGAATGGTCAAATCAGTAATTAGTATTTCCTGTATTAGTTTCTTATTGCTACTGTAACAAATTACCATAAACTTAGGGCTTTAAACAACCCACATAGTCTCTTACAGTTCTGGAGGTCAGAAATCCAGAATGAGTCTTGAGGGAATAAAATCAAGATGTGGGCAGGGCTGGTTCCTTTTGGAGGCTCCAGGGAAGAGTTCATTCCTTGCCTCCGCCAGCATCTAGAGGCTAGTATTTCTGGCTCGTGGACACATCACTCCAATGACTCTCATCAGCATGTCTTATCTTCTGTAGTCAAATCTCCCTCTGCCTCCATTTTATAAGAACTTTTGTGCTTTTGTTGGGTTCACGTGGATAATCCAGGATACTCTCCCCATTTCAAAATCCTAATGTCATCTGCAAGGTCTCTTTTAACATATTCAAGGCTTTGGAGATTAGCACATGAATATCTTCAGGGGCAGGTGCTATTGACATTTTAGTGAGACAATTCTGTGTGAGACTATCCTGCACACTACCCTGCACATTGAAGAATTGAACCTCCCTAGAGCCCACTAACCAAATGCCATTAGGAGTCCCCCCAACCTGTCCCCAATGATTGTGACAGCTCAAAGTACCCTCATACATTTCCAGATGCCACCTCTCCTGAGGACATAGTACTACCCTAATTAACTGGTTAAGTGGCTGGGAGTTAATCTAGGTCATCTGATGCCAAATCCTTTCACTCTGCCCCACTATATCATTCATGTTTTTATACTGAAGTGTTGCCATAGTAATGCAATTATTGTAACCATCTGTGCTAGGCACTTTAACATCATTTAATCCGTGCTGACTGAAGGGACACTTATAAATCAACTGGTTAGAGTTTTAAATCCTCTTTCCTTTTCCACAGAACACCTTCTATGCAAATGATTAGCATCTTTTTTTCTTAGAAAAAGGAGCCCAGCTGGTTCACTTATAATTGAAATATTTTGTCTATGTGAAATACACTACTATTGTGTGAATTTGTTTTTCTAAGATTCTAGAAAAGTCATTGGCAAGGTCTACTTCCACCCTCCCATTCTCCAGAAACCTATTTTTATACCTTTTCTTTTTTTTTTTTTCTTTTTGTCTTTTTTTCGTGACCGGCAACGGATCGCAATCCTCAGTGTCACGCCCATACCAGACCGGGACCAGCAACGGGATCGCAACCCTCGGTGTTGCTCCCGCACCTTGCTCAGCCAGTGAGCAGCCGGTCTGTATGTGGGATCCGAACCCTCGGCGGGAGCGCCGCCGCGCTCCCAAGCGGCGCACTGTAGCAGTGCGCCACCGGGCCGGCCCTTTATACCTTTTCTCAATCTGGGTATAAGTGTTCTTGATACAAAAATATCTAGTGCAAGGACCGTGAAGGTGTGAATTTTAGGCAGCTAGCTATGTAAGGAAATAAATTAGTACATCACAAAGTGTCAGCATGCCTGCAGAGATTGTTTTGATGAATATCAATTTAAAGTTTCTTTAAATGAAATGTCGGTTATGACAGCAACGATGAGTGGACATACATAGGGAACTAAATTTTAGAGCTTCCCCAAACTGGCAGTAATTATGAAGAAAATTCCCATTAAAAGCTATTCCCAGACTATTTAGAAATATTTCGTGTTGCTTAATATTTATTCTAATTTGCTCTCAGAGATTAATTTCACATCAAGCCACAATTCACTTAGAAACTAAACTACAGGTATAAATTAAGATAACCATGGGTAAATGTCTGGAGAAAATAAGCCACAGATAGAAATAAATGAAATCTGTCTAGTAAGATGAAATGTACTGACACCAGACAGTTTATTTTGTACAAGGGATCTTCAAGAAGTTCATGGAAAGATTTATATTATCTTTTAATTCTATTTTCCAATCAACTTTGAAGTACTCTTGTATTGGTAAAAACTTCTGAGTTTCAAAAGGCTCAAAGAAAAAGATGGATAAAGTGAAGTTCTGGGCTTTATCTGTACCTGTACAGCTCTTAGCACATGTGGATGATTTAAATCTTCCTCTTCTGCAGACTATTATGTGGCTGTTTACCTACCCGGTCATTTCTTACATCTGCTTAACATTCAACATCCGGACTTGATCTGCCACAGTCTGTTTCTGTCAGGTATGGCTGTACTTTTTCTCTCGTGGAAATGGCCTATTTAGGTTTGATTTGACTTTAATTAATATCAATGTTTGTGTGAGAGGGGTTTGTTTTATTTGCTGATCTTTTTTTTTTGTCTTTGCCAGGAAACAACGAGATGACTGATTTTCTACCTCATAGTCACTTACAATCACTGTCAGGATCCCTGGTACTGGATTGGTGTTCTGGAAAGCTCTATAGAGCATTCCTCAGCCAGTCATATTTATTACAGTTCCTATGGAACACCCGCCTAGACTATGAGAAGATGGCCATATTGCACTGTGTGCTCTCATGTGGCCCAGACCCACGATTCCTGGAAGGCCAGGTACAGATATAGCCCAGTTTAAAAATTGGCAAATAGAAAACACCAAATGTATTTATTTAGTGGTTGACAATGATCAGAAGTTATTTTTATATGGTTGCAATTAGTGGGGATTTATGGTCTCTGTCTTGACTTCAATATATTCTCTTTTGCTCCCTTGTTATGGATCCCTACCAGACCTCAGATTGTGAGGATGTGTTTGTTATTTTGAGTACTCTTTTCCATATTGTGAATAAATGTTTAGCTACCTCCAAGGAAGTGCTCAGTAAATAGAGTTTCTCAAATATCTTTTTCTCTGGGTCTATATTTGCTGTATAATTATCAAAAGAACTAAAATATGGTGGCAAATATTTATTACATTTTTAATAAAGATAGCTTACATTTGTATTGCACATTATAGTTTACAAAGCACTTTCATGCATTCTGTCATTTAAGTTTTACAGCTGTCCTATGAAGTTGGAGAAATTCTCTTGGGCTTGGTTGGGACTAGTGGGTGGCTGGTTAACTGCAAAAAAATTTTTTAAACCTAAAACATATAAATGTACATTTATTCACCCATCTTTTGATATAGATTAAGGCTTTCTTTGTGCATTAGCTAATTGGAGTTCAAAGTCATTTTTCTTGCATAAAACCACTGGTAATGTATTATCTCTGACTTCCTGTTACTTCTTACAGTTTTTATGTCTAGGGAGATCAATAATTTAAAGACTCTTCCAAAGCAATCCTTGTATATTGGGCATTTCTTACCCAATATTTTATAGTTGTCTCACCGATGCCTACTTTTTTAGTGTTTTCAAGACTTGCCTTTGAGTCTTTCCAACACATTCAACTTTTTTTTTTTTTTTGTCTTTTGTCTTTTTCCGTGTCCGGCAACGGATCGCAACCCTCAGTGTTGCCCCCGTACTGGACCAGGGACCGGCAACGGGATTGCAACCCTCGGTATTGCTCCCGCGCCTCGCTCAGCCAGTGAGCGGGAACCGGTCCGTATGTGGGATCCGACCCCTTGGGCGGGAGCGCCGCCGTGCTTCCCAAGCGGCGCACTATCCAGTGCGCCACCGGGCCGTCCCAAACACATTCAACTTTGATTGATTCGACAACACTCTTTTTGCATCCATATTTCATTTGTCTACAGTGATATTTTATTAAATTACCAAATTGTGTAAATAAGTACAACTAGCAGGGCCGGCCCGGTGGCGCACTGCTATAGTGCGCCGCTTGGGAAGCGCGGTGGCGCTCCTGCCGAGGGTTCGGATCCCACATACATACCGGTTCCCGCTCACTGGCTGAGCGAGGCGCGGGAGCAACACCGAGGGTTGCGATCCCTTGCCGGTCCCGGTCCGGTACGGGGGCAACACTGAGGGTTGCGATCCGTTGCCGGACACGGAAAAAGACAAGAAGGAAAAAAAAAAAAGTACAACTAGCATGAATAGGTTTGGAATACAACAGCTTATTGGAAGGAGCAGAAAAGTGAACAAGCACAATGGCTTAGGCAAGCTTATAATATCTGTCAATTTTGAGGTAGTAAACAAGGCATTTCTTTCCTCTAGCAGGTGAGGACAGTTAAGGAGATGGAATGAGAGAGTTGTTGATTTAACAGATTAGCTCTCCCTTGTGAGGGCAGTACAGCAATGCTCACAAAGGTTACGTGGTGTGACTGTTCACACTGATGACCAAGCTGGGATTTAAACCCAGGTCTGCAGCCTCCAAGCCTAATGGTTTTGGTTTTCTTTTTTTCCTGTAGCCCCAAGTTCTTCCATCTGGTACTTTGCTATAACATGACCTATTCTAGCAAAAATAAACGTTGGGTTGGATAAGGTTTATTTGGATCCCAGACAAGGGCATTTATTTAAAAAATGTGTAAAAAGGACCTCATTTATAATACTGTTTTAGCCACCCAGAACTGCATCATCTATCTTGAAGATAGTATAGAAGTGAGTGTATTCTTAGGCAATTCCAAAATAGATACAGAATTAAGATTCATGTGTATTTGTACTTTGGGGTGGAGGTGGAATACAGATTTGAATACCAACAGAGTTCTGTTGCCTTTTTGAAGATTATTCGATGGATTTCTGAGAATGCCTCTGCCTGCCATTCATTTGACCCTATTCAGGAATTTATAATTGGTAAGTACTGCTGATATTGTACGTTAAGATGAGTATCTGACCCTTTTGCTTGAGAGAAAGCAGTAAATTTTTTTTTTCATATATTTTACTTTTTTTTTTCCTTTAAATTTTTATTTTGTCGATATACAGTGTGGTTGATTATTATGGCCCATCACCGACACCTCCCTCCCTCCTCCCTTTCCCCCCTCCCACCCAACAATGTCCTTTCCGTTTGCTTGTTGTAACAACTTCAAAGGATTGTAGTTGTTATATCTTCTCCCCCCCCCACCCCCGGTTATTTTTTTTGTGTAGAGTGAATTTATTTATTAATTTTTAGCTCCCACCAATAAGTGAGAACATGTGGTATTTCTTTTTCTCTGTCTGACTCGTTTCACTCAATATTATTCTCTCAAGGTCCATCCATGTTGTTGCAAATGGCAGTATTTCATTCATTTTTATA